TCTCATACAATATTTGTCCTTTTGTGATTGACTTATTTCACTCAGCATAATGTCCTCCAGTTTCATCCATGTTATGAGATGCTTCACAGATTTCATCGTTGTTCTTTCTCGTTACGTAGTCCTCCATTGTGTGTATGTACCATGGTTTGTTTATCCATTCATCTGTTGATGGGCATCTAGGTTGTTTCCATCTTTTTGCTATTGTGAGCAATGCTGCCATGAACATAGGTGTGCATATGTCTATTCGAGTGACAACTCTTCTTTCTCAAGGATATATTCCTAGGAGTGGGATTGCTGGATCGTATTGTATGTCTATTTCTAGCTTTCTAGGGAAGTGCCATATCATTTTCCAAAATGGTTGTATCATTTTGCATTCCCACCAGCAGTGCGTAAAAGTTCTGATCTCCCTGCAGCCCCTCCAACATTTGTTATTTCCAGTGTTTTACATGCTACTTTTTAACTGAACGTTATGTTATGAACATTTTTTCATGTTATTAAATACTATTCAGAACGCTTTTTAAAATCATTGCATAATATTTCATCATATGGTAAGCTTAATTGCTTTCTTTACTTTTTGGGGAGACATGGAACCCTTGAAGAGGAGAAATCTATAATGGGAAATACTGTCAACTGTTCAGTAATCAAGGCCAGTGGCCTGCTAAGAACTTGAATATAGGCAGTCCGTGGGTTATGAATGTCCGACTTACAGACAACTCGTACTTAAGAACAGACTGCCATAAAGCCAATGATATTAAAACTTTGAGTTAAATACAGTGATTTATAACAACAAATGCACGTACTGCTTTGTGACGCTCATGAAAACGTTGCGCAGTTTGGAAGTGTTTTTTAAGTGTATTACACACATAAAAAACCCAGTGCTGTGGAGTCGATTCCGACTCATAGTGACCCTATAGAACAGAGGAGAACTGCCCCATCGGGTTTCCAAGGAATGGCTGGTGGATTCGAACTGCTGACCTTTTGGTTAGCAGCCTGAGCTCTTAACCACCAGGACTCCTTTATATACGTAGAAAGGTAAAATATATACTGTGTACTAAGACAAACATTTGACTAACTGATGCTAAATAAAAACTGTATGTACGTGTTCCAACTTACTTACAAATTCGACTTAAAGACAGATTTTGGAACTGATCTTGTTCGTAACCTGGGGATTGCCTGTATATATTTGCTTCTTACTGATTTACTGGACCCTGGCTGAATACAAGTGTCTTGGTCTATAATTTACAATTGATAATTTAATATTTCAGGGTAGAAAGTCATCAAAATTTCATTGATCATCTTTTATGTTACAGTTATTGAAAAACTGGTGTCTGTGGTGGGTATGTAGTTTTTCTTTTAAAGCAATGGTCCTCTTAAATTTGAGGTACCATATTTTTACACACATAACGTGCACCTTCTACGTTTGTTTGCCAGCTGCACCTTCCCCCTACAAGGTATTTTAGTAAGTGCACTATGCTAAAATTTTTTTTCCAGCAGCATGTAAAAAAAAAAATGGCATAGCTGCGGGAGGGCACAGTTGGTAAACAAACATAGAAGGCACATGTTATTTGCCTAAAAATATGGTAATTAGTGTATTCTTTGATATTGTGATAAAAGCTATGGACATTTGCCTCAGAAAGATGCCCGAACACAACAGATTTTTAAAACAATTTAAAGAGGTTCTTGGATAATTAAAACTATTGTTGGCCTTTAGATAATTGTTTTTCTAAGCAACATAATTCTTAACACAGTTGACTATTACTTGAAACATATCCACATCTTTAGTAGACTACTTTTAATTGAATCCTAGAGTAAAGGTTACTGCTATTTGAAGACATCTGATTAATCTTAATATTTTCATTCTAGGGAAAAGTAAAGTTTGTGCCTGAGAATTATACAACTAACTATACTAGGCCGTCTTCTGGCTATGATTGCCACGTGGCTACAAATACGAACAAAGTTTCTCCCAAGACAAGTCATTTTCGTGCCTTTGAACTGAGTCAGGTATAGTCATCTGTGAATAAATATATTTCTGAATCTAATGTAAATTTCCGGGTTGGGTAGGGTTGAGATAAACTTGGTGCAAATGTAATTTCATGGTGGTGCCCTGATTATACTTATTTTTCTTATTTCAGTATTATCTCTATGAACTTTCAGGCGGCACTGTTATTGAGCGACCCAGACAGATCTGTCCTTATGTAATTGTAGCTTTTCAATACAGGGAACCTAAAAAAATGGCAGCTCATAAAAGCATGTAAGTAATTATGCACATACTTTGTTTTACTGGATTTGTTTCCTTTGCTCTTATAAAATTCTCTTTTTTTTTTTTTTCCCTAGACTTGAACTTCATGAAAATGGTAAGAAATTATATTACTGGTTATTCCTTCAGGTTTTTATTAAAAGTAAATGTGTCATTAATAAATAAAATAATCAGTTTCTTCATTACCTCCATTTTTTAAAGCTCTCATCTCTTCATGGAAAGGGAAATTAATTATTCAAGGCTGTCTGCTGTGTGATATAACTCTTTGGTCCACCTATGGTACAGTGATTCCAACACAGCTGTAAGTACTGAATTTTTGTCATTTCCTAATGGTTGGATTAAAAAAAAAATTATTTTTTTAATTCTCATTTTGAGGTCTTAATGGTAATTCATGGTGTGAAATTGGCGTGAAATATAACTGTTGTACTTGGTTTTAGATTAGGGTAGTTTTACATGGGTAGATGTATAGAGGGAGCCCTGGTGGCACAGTGGTTAAAGTGATCGGCTGCTAACTGAAAGATTGGCGGTTCAAAACCACCAGTGGCTCCACTGGAGAAAGATGTGGCAGTCTGCTTCCATAGAGATTTAAAGCTTTGGTAACACTATGAGGTCACTATGAGTTGGAATCATCTCGACGTCAGTGGCTTGTGTTGGGTTGGGTTTGGTTTGGATGTATAGAGCACAGGGCCATAACACAAAGTCTGATCGAAATTCTGGCCTTGGCTTTGAAATAAACTAGTTTTATAACCTTAAAACAAACCGCTTTTTCAGTCTTAGTATCCTAATCCATTAATGGAATAATGATCTCTCAGGATAAGTTATTTAATACTAGAAATTTGACTTTCCCCAAGAAACAAATCAGATTTGCCTAGATGGCAGATATAGGAAATTATAGCTATTTAATGCCATTATTGAGTCATTATTAAGATTTTCAATATCTGAGTTTCTAATTTTCACAGGATTTTCCTTGAACAGTATTAAACAGAGTAGTTGTTATGTGCATTTGTATTATAATGAATTATCATAATGAATATTTTCTTCTGGGGAACTGTGAAGGCATCGTATGAAATCTTTTTGCTCACTCTGTTCTTAGATTGTACCCAAAACCATTGTGAGGTAGATGTAGTTTAATTGAAATGTTAAGGCAAAAACTGGTATGCTATCAGAATTCATTGTCTGTTAACTTTTTATTAAAGAAAATGTGGGGATATTATAACCCATAGAATAAAATAAGATTTCTGTGACTAACTAAAAGGGAGAGAAGAGAAAGTTCTTCTTCACTGTAGAGTACAACTAATTAATGGAGAAAGAGTGATGGAATTAGGTAATTACTTTTGGGAACACCATAATAATCAGTCAATGGGTGCTAAAAGTAGTAGGTGAAAGTTTGATGATGGTATTTGTGTAGTTTCATAGTATTTCTCCACAATTTGCTTAATAATCACAAAAGGAAAAATATAGGCTTTATAGTGGAGAAAACTGACAGATACCATCTTAACCAAGTGGTTAAGTTAATGTCACTGGTAGTGGGATAGATACCATGTGCCTCCTGATATTCACAGAAAATGACACTACATCACTTTGTGGTATCCCTGCCAAAAATCTAATCAGGAGGAAACATCTGATGTATCCAGAATGAGAGGCATTTTGCAAAATAAATGTTCTGTATTCAAAACTATCAAAGTCACTGTCATGGATTGAATTGTGTCCCCCCAGAATACCTGTCAACTTGGCTAGGTCATGATTCCCAGTATTCTATGATTGTGTACCATTTTGTAATCTGATGTGATTTCTTTATGTGTTGTAAACTCTATCACTATGATGTAATAAGATGGATTAGCAGCAGTTATACTGATGAGGTCTGCAAGATTAGATAGTGTCTTAAGCCAGTGTCTTTAGAGATATAAAAGAGAGAAGTGAGCAGAGACACATGGGAACCTCATACCACCAAGAAAGCAGTGCTGGGAGCAGAGTGTGTCCTTTGGACCTGAGGCTCCTGCCCTGAGATGCTCCCAGACCAAGGGAAGATTGATGACATGGACCTTCCTCCAGAGCCAACAAAGAAATTGTTCCACTGGAGCTGACACCCTGAGTTTGGACTTGTAGCCTGCTAGACTGTGAGAGAATAAACTTCTCTTTGTTAAAGACATAACTTGTGGTGTTTCTGTTATAGCAGCACTAGATGACTAAGACAGAATTTGGTACCAGGAGTGGGATGTGCTCTAACAGATACCTAAAATGTGGAAGTAGTTTTGAAACTGTGAGTGGATAGCGGAGCCCCAGAGGCAGAGGACCACCAGTAGCAGAGAACCTGCAGCAACAGAGAAATGGCAGTGGCAGAGACCCAGCAGCAGCAGAACCAGGAGACCAGCACAAGACGGCTCTGGAGCTGACCCGCAGAGCGAGACCTCCAGGCGCTTATTGGTGTGAGCTAGGCTTGCGGACCTACAGAACGAGAGAGCTGAGTGCCTGTGTGCACAAGGCTTCCTGGCAGAGTAGGGTGCCTCTGGGCACTTAATCGGTGGAGCTACAGAGCTTTGGAACACTTGTCCCAGCAGGGTAGATGCAGATGTGAGGCCCGAAGGCTGAGAGGCCATAGGAGGCAGAAGGTGAAGAGACAGGGAACACAAAAAGCTGAGCTGCCTCAGTCTCAAAAGGTATGACCATGACCTCTGGGGTTTCAAAGGGTGGAGCCATGGCCTCTGGTGTTTCTAAGGGTGGAGTCGCCACTCAGATGGACTAGGAGAATGGTGCGCCTAAAGCCAAGGCAGCAGAGTTGCTGTCCCAGTGGGCTTGGAAGGTGGAGCTGAAGCCCAGGGCGGAGGGGCCTCCACTCAGAATTCAGAGACTGTGGCCAATACCTAGAGTCTGGAGGGCAGGGCCATTGTGTAAATGGTCTCAGAGAACAGAAGATTATTTTCAAGCCTTGAGGGCTAATGTAATGTGTTCTGCTGACTTGCTTGGTGCCTGTTATCCCTTCTTTTCCTCCAGTTTCTCTAGCTTGTGCCTGTTGCACCATTGTACATTTGAAAGCAGGTAACTTGTATTACAGGTTTCACAGATGAAGAGCAATTTTTGGATTTTGGACTTGGAGTTGATTTAAGACTTTTGCTATGCTATGATGGGTGAATACGTTTTACACGTGGCAAGGACATGAATTTTGGAGGGCCAAAGGGTGGAGTGTCATGGATTGAATTGTGTCCCCCAAAAATATCTGTCAACTTGGCTAGGTCATGATTCCCAGTATTGTATGATTGTGTACCATTTTGTAATCTGATGTGATTTCCTTATGTGTTGTAAACTCTATCACTATGATGTAATAAGATGGATTAGCCGCAGTTATACTGATGAGGTTTACAAGATTAGACAGTGTCTTGAGCCAATCTCTTTAAAGATAGAGAGGAGCGAGCAGAGACACATGGGAACCTCCTACCACCAAGAAAGCAGTGCTGGGAGCAGAGTGTGTCCTTTGGACCTGAGGTTCCTGCCCTGAGATGCTCCCAGACCAAGGGAAGATTGATGACAGGGACCTTCCTCCAGAGCTGACAGAGAAGGCATTCCCTTGGAGCTGACACCCTGAATTTGGACTTGTAGCTTCCTGGACTGTGAGAGAATAAACTTCTCCTTGTTAAAGCCATCCACTTGTGGTATTCCTGTTAGAGCAGTACTAGATGACTAAGACAGTCACTAATTCAAGGAGACTAAAAACACATGAAAACTAAATGCAGTAGGTGATCCTGGGTTGGATCCTGGACCAGGAGAAATATATATTGTTTTATTTTGCTATAACCAAAAATCAAAACGCATTCCCATTAAGTCGATTCTGACTCACAGTGACCTACCTTATACGACAGAGTAGAACTGCCTAATAGGGTTTCCTAGGCTGTAACTCCTTATGGGAACAGACTGCCACATCTTTCTCCTGCAGGTTGGCTTATGAGTTTGAACTGCTATCAGTTAGCAGCCAAGTGCTTAACCACTCTGCCACCAGGGCTCCTCTTTTGCTATAAAGAACCTAAATGAGGCAGTTGATAAAATTTAAATAAAGTCTGTAGGTTAAATAATAGTACTGTTTTTGTCAGTTTGTTGTACTGTGGTAGCTTACGTGTTAGTGTGATGCTGGAAGCTGTGCCCCTGGTACTTCAGTTACCAGCAGAATCACCCATGGTGGACAGGTTTCAGTGGAGCTTTCAGACTAAGACAGACTAGGAAGAACGACCTGATAATCTACCTCTAAAAAAATTGGCCAGTGAAAACCTTATGAATAGTAGCAGAACATTGCCTAATATGGTGCCAAAAGATGAGCCCTTAGGTTGGAAGGCACTCAAAAGACCTCCTCACAGTAGAGTTGACCTTAGTGATGTGGATGGAGTAGAGCTTTCGGGACCTTCATTTGCTGATGTGGCACAACTCAAAATGAGAAGAAACAGCTTCAAGCAGCCATTATTAACATTCGGAATGTGGAATGTACGAGGTATGAATCTAGGAAAATTGAAATTGTCAAAAATGAAATGGAATGTTTGAAGATAGACATCCTAGGCATTAATGAGCTGAAATGAACTGGTATTGGCCATTTTCAATCAGATAATCATATGGTCTGTGATACTGAGAATGACAAATTGAAACGGAATAGCTTTGCATTCATTGTCAGAATGGCTGTTTCAAGATCTATCCTGAAGTACAACACTGTGAGAAATAAGCTAATACCCATACACCTACAAGGAAGATCAGTTAATGCAACTATCACTCAAATTTTTGCACCAACCACTAATGACAAAGATGAAGAAATTGAAGATTTTTACCAACTTCTGCAGTCTGATACTGATCAATGATGCAGCCAAGATGCATTGACAGTTACTGGTAATTGGAATGTGGAAGTTGGAAACAAATAAGCATCAGTAGTTGGAAAATACAGCCTTGGTGATAGAAATGATGCTGGAGATTACGTGATAGAATTTTGCAAGACCAATAATCTACTCATTAGAAGTACCTTTTTTTAACAACATAAATGGCAACTATACATGTGGACCTCGCCAGATGGAATACACTGGAATCATATTGACTACATGTGTGGAAAGAGACAATGGAGAAGCTCTCTATATCATCAGTCAGAACAAGGCCAGGGCCAACTGCTCATATGCAAGTTAAGTTGAAGCTGAAGAAAATCAAAACAAGTCCACAAGAGCCAAAGTACAATTTTGAGTATATCCCACCTGAATTTAGAGACCATCTCAAGGATAGATTTGAGTCATTGAACACTAATGACCGAAGACCAGATGAGTTGTGGAATGACATCAAGGACATCATACATGAAGAGAGCAAAACTTCATTAAAAACATAGGAAAGAAAGAAAAGACCAAAATGGATGTCAGAAGAGACTCTGAAACTTGACTCTTGAATGAGAGTAGGTAAAATGAACTGAAGAAATGATGAAGTAAAAGATCTGAACAGAAGATTTCAGAGGGCGGTTCAGGAAGACAAAGTGAAGTATTATAATGAAATGTGCAAAGACCTGGAGTTAGAAAACCAAAAGGGAAGAACATGCTCAACATTTCTCAAGCTGAAAGAACTGAAGGAAAAAATTCAAGCCTCACTCGGCAGAACCACACCTGAGCCGGGAGCGAGATGTGTCCCTGCTGCCCCCGTCCCGGGCCCCCGTGACTGCGGCTTGTTTCCAGAAACCAGGAGCCCCTAACTTCACTCCAGGTTTGGAGCTGCCTTCTGGGGGGGACATGCAAGTGATGACTCGCGACACTTTGCTAGAAATGGAGGAGGAGGATGACGACGAGGATGGGGATATCGGTGTAATCCGTACTGAAGGCTGTGGTCTTTGGTCTTCATCAGTAAGTGCTTCAAGTCCTCTTCACTTTCAGCACGCAAGATTTTGTCATCTGCATATCGCAGCTTGTTAATGACTCTTCTTCCAATCTTGATGCCCTGTTCTTTGTATAGCCAGCTTCTCGGATTATTTGCTCAGCGTACATATTGAATAGTTTTGTTTTACTCTTTAAAACTGCAACTAAAATTAATCAGCACTCATTCCAAGAAGCAGCCAGTTTGAAGAATACTAGATGAGTATGTCAGCAATAGAGTATGTTGGACATGGACCAAAAAGCAATTCAGATGCTGTTCAGCCAAAAGACAGCAGATGAACGCACACAGAGAAGACAGGTTGAAGGGTTAATAGGCAACGTTCTCTGCCATGGTGTTTATTACTGCCCTGGCTACATGTCTGAATACTAATTGAAATAAAGTTGTTCAGCAGCCTAAGTAAATAAATAAGTAAAAATTCAAGCCTCGAGTTGCAATATTCAAGGATTCTATGGGGAAAATATTGAACAACACGGGAAGCATCAAAAAAAGATGGAAGGAATACACAGAGTCACCGTACCAAAAAGAATTGGTCGATGTTCAGCCATTTCAGGAGGTAACATATGATCCAAGAACTGGTGGTATTGAGGGAGGAAGTCCAAGCTGCACTGAAGGCATTGGTGAAAAACAAGCCTCCAGGAGTTGATGGAATACCAGTTGAGATGGTTCAACAAACTGATGCAACACTGAAGTGCTCACTTATCTCTGTCAAGAAATCTGGGAGATTTCTGTCTGGCCAACTGACTGGAAGAGATCTGTATTTGTGCCTATTCCAAAGAAAGGTGATCCAACAAAATGTGGAAATTATTGAGCAATATCATTAATATCACATGCAAGTAAAATTTTGCAGAAGATAATTCAAAAGCGATTGCAACAGTGCATCGACAGGAAACTGCCAGAAATTCAAGCTAGATTCAGAAGAGGACATGGCACAAAGGATATCATTGCTGATGTCACATGGATCCTGGCTGAAAGCAGAGAATACCAGAAAGATGTTTATCTGTGTTTTATTGACTATGCAAAGGCATTCGACTGTGTGGTTCATAACAAATTATGGATAACATTGCAAAGAATGAGAATTCCAGAACACTAATTGCGGTCTTGCAGAACCTGTACATAGATCAAGAGGCAGTTGTTCAAACAAAACAAGGGAGTCCTGCCTGGTTTAAAATCAGAAAGATGTGTGTCAGAGTTGTATCCTTTTACCATAGTTACTCAGTCTGTATGCTAAGCAAATAATCCTAGAAGCTGCACTATGTGAAGAAGAAGGTGGCACCAGGATTGGAGGAAAATTCGTTAACAACCCGTGATATGCAGATGACACAAACTTGTTTTCCAGAAGTGCAGAGGAAGAAGGAATTATTAATGAAGATCAAAGACTGCAGCCTTCAGTATGGATTACACTTTAACATAATGAAAACAAAAATCTTCACAACTGGACCAATAAGCAACAACATGATAAATGGAGAAAAGATTGAAATTGTCAAGGATTTCATTTTACTTGGGTCCACAATCAACGCCCACAGGAGCAGCGGTCAGGAAATCAAACGACCTGTTGCATTGGGCAAATCTGCTGCAAAAGACCTCTTTAAAGCGTTAAAATGCAAAGATATTACTTTCAGGATTAAGGTACACCTGACCAAAGCCATGGTATTTTCAGTTGCCTCATATGCATACGAAAGGTAAACAGTGAGTAAGGAAGACCAAAGAAGAATCAATGCCTTTGAATTATGGTGTTGGTGAAGAATATTGAATATTCCTTGGACTGCCAGAAGAATGAACAAGTCTGTCTTGGAGAAAGTACAGCCAAGAATACTCCCTAGAAGGGAGGATGGTGAGACTTCGTCTTAAGTACTTTGGACATGTAATCAGGAGGGCCTAGAGTCTGGAGAAGTACATCAGGCTTGTTAAAGTAGAGTGTCAGCAAAAAATAAGACCCTCAAGGAGAGGATTGACACTGGCTGTAGCAGTGAGCTCAAGCATAGCAATGATTGTGAGGATGGCACAGAACCAGCAGTGTTTCATTCTGTTGTACATGGGGTCACTATGGGTTGAAACCGACTTGAGGGCACCTAACAGCAACAGCAATTACTAGTTTCTTGATTTTGCTAATTATTTTGTGGTTGTATAAGAAATTGTTTTTATTTTGGAAACACAGACAAAAATATTTAGAGGTAACGGAGCAGCATGGTTTGCAACTTACTCTCAAAAGGTTGAGAAAAAAATAATAACCAGATATAGAGAAAGAAAGAATGATAAAGCAAACATGGTAAAATGTTAACATTTGGGTAATCTAAATGAAGAGTATAAGAGAATTCTTTGTACTATTCTTGCAGCTTTTCTCTAAGTCTAAAAGTATTTCAGAAATAATTTTAAAAAAGGAAAAATGAGTCAGAGGAAATGATTAAAAAAAAAACTGGATATGGTTCATTCTGTGCAACTGCATGAGTTTTCAACTCTTAAAAAGCATTTTTTAAAAATCTCAGTTTCGACGCAAATAATTCCTCTTTGACACATGGATATTTTTACCAAAAATACGTGCATTTAGAAAACATGAACGTACTGGCAGGCAATGGTCTATATAGGTCATGTATTTGAAAATCTATAATATTTATAAATATGCATAGTATTTAACCTGGGAGTTTTATCAATTTAAGGACTTTTTTGTATTTATGATATTTTGTATTTATGTTAGAAAACAATAAATAATGTTATACATAGTTTCAGTATTTATTTCACTGCTTGGTATTGTTGTTTTGTTTTTTAGACCGTTGGAACTAGATTTCAAGTATGTAATGAAAGTGTCTTCTTTGAAAAAGAGACTTCCTGAAGCTGCATTTAAAAAACAGAATTACTTGGAGCAAAAAGGTCTGTTTGAAGGTAGTGATACACTGCATGTCCTAGACTTTGTTCAGTTATCTTCAGTGCTCTGTTCCAAATATTGGCCAGTTTTACCCTGTCCTGTAGGGTCACTGTAAGTCAGAACCGTCTTGATGGCAGTGGATTTGGGCTGATTTTTTTCTTTCAAACACACACCCACGCCACTAACTGTTGTGTCTTTAAAAACAAACAAACCTGTTGCTATCACGTCCGTTCCGATTTATGAGTGATTCATAAAAAGAATCTTTTGTGAAAGTTTAATGGTTGTTATTTTTTATAGTTCTTAGAGATAATCTAGTGACTGTGAAAGGAAGTTTCACCTAAGGTGGCAGACTAGCTTTAATGTAGAATACTGAAGGAACTAAGCAGAGACATGCTTAAAAATAGTTGGAAACTCAACTCTTCCGCTCAGAAACAGAGTTGTTATTATTTTTACTTACTTACGTACTTTTAGACTCAAAAGATAAAAAGCAAGAAATATAAGAAGAAAATTTTTTGATTATTTAGTTTAATTCATGGAACACTGATGTTTGTGTTCAATCCTATATGGTTTCAGTGTAAATGATGGCATAATTTTAAAATAATTTGTTCTGTAACTTTTTATTAAGGTGACATAACCAAGAATACATAAAATTTTTAGTAGTATTTTTAGTTCTTCATCTTTCTAATGTATAAATACATTATAAAAATGTAGCATATTTAAAATAAGAAATATTGGTTTTTTCTTAATTTTTCTCTACAGTTTGTCTCCCAGACATGTGCTCCAATTTGTATGAGGTGGAACTGTCAAACAAACAAGGAGAAAAAATAGATAAATTAACAGAATACATTAAAAATGAAGAATTGGTAAGAAACAGTATAATTAATTATTTTTTCCTTAAATTAAGAAATTGATATAAGCTGGCTGTGCTTTGATTGAATTATTTTAGCTTGCTAAAAAGATTTTCATTGTTTAATATTTATTGACCACCAACATGTTTTTATCCCCTTTTTATCAGTAGTCAGTTTATATTCCTGATTATAAAAAACAAAAAGAATAGTTTTTCGTGAATCTTTTTTTTTTTTTTTTCCTGTTGTTTGGCAAAAGAATTGAGTAGATCCCTAGAGCTTCTGCTTATTAGAATCCCAAGGGAGAAATACGTCTTTAAGAGTGACCTGTATCATAATCCACAGGTTTATAAGGAAGAAAAAGTTGTCTCTTCCACTGTTTCCATAGTGTAGAAAGTAAGACTCTACAGAGAACTATATAAGGATCCAAAGAATTCTCTCTGTTAACCAAAGTTAAGGGATGAGGAGAATAGATGCTTGAACCAGACTCATACTTTCTAGTGAATAATTCCCAAACATCACAAAGGAAGTGGTGCAGATGTTGGCGAGTGACCAAGGGAGTCTGAATTCTTTGGTAACATGGTGGTAAAAAAATGAATACATTAAATATATAAGCTGTGAAGGTAGCTAGTCTTAGTGATAATATCAGTTAAGATACTTCGGATTGCACGTGACAGAAACCCAAACTGGCTTAAACAATAACAGGATTTAATTGGCTTGTATAACTTTTTAATTCTAGATGGTAAGGCAGGTTCAAGTGCTGTTTGTTCAGAGCTCAAGGTCTTTTTCTGTGACTCTTTCAACTTTGCCTTCCTCTGTGTAGTAGTTTTTGTCCTTAGGCTGGTCAAAGGCGGCCAGCAGAGCTGCATTTTCCCGTCCTTTTCACATTCAGGAGAAAGAGAACTCCTCCTCCAAATCATCACTTCAGTTTCATTAGATCAGTTTATGTCGTCTGCACATTCCTCAGCCAGTAACTGAAAAGGATGTGGATCACTTAGGCCATTCAGAGCTCGCCTTACAGAATTGAGTACACCCAATCTGCAGTAATGCTCCATAGCAGAGTTAAGAACTGTCTCTTCAAAGAAAAATCTTGAGTGCGGTTAAGAAAATGTAATCAGGGAAATTCGATTCTGAATAGATAACCATTGGGTGTCTACTGTAGGATAGTAGTCTTAGTTTTGTTTGTTTTTTTTGTTTTTTTTTAAGTGCATAGTCCATATTATTTGGAAATTAAAAGGAAGAAAGTACCAAGATACTTTCAGAAAATGCATTAGGGCAAGGAACTGTGTTTATAATATTGAAAGTAGTAGAGAGTGTAGAGCTTTGTTTTGAAACCTGTTTATTAATAATATTTATAGAAATTACATGTTATATATGCTGCTTCCTCCTCAGTGCTTCATGTATCTTTTCTTGGCCTTGTTATATTATGAATATTTGTTTATATATCTGTCTCCCCAACTAGACGTCGAGTTCTTTGTGGGCAGGTATCATGTCTTAATCATCTTTAACTCCTCAGTGCCTGCTGTATAGTGGACAAATAATAAATGTCGCTTGAATAAAGTGTATGTGGGATTATACCTAGCACACCAAACTTCAGGAGCAGTACAGAGCAGGGTCTTTTTTTAAAAGGGTGTATTTTTCTGTGTGTATATAGAAGAGGCTAGAAGTAGATATTTAAAAGATTCTATGATTTTTTCTATCAAAGGTTAGAATGGGTACGTTATACAACCCTATCAGTACATAATTTGAGACACTAATAAGATATAATACACGTCTGTCTTATTTGCACATTTTTTTTTTGGAAGATAGAAATGCATGGTTTTAGTAGATGTAAGGAGTTTACTTTCCCTTTATGTTACAAAATGAAAATGCAGAACAACGTAGAGGCTAATTATTGTCATTTCCACTTTTTGCAGTTAGTGGAAAGTAAAACAAGAATTACACCAGTTTGCAATTTAATAGATACTGAAACTCTCAGGATATATAACTATTGGTATGTTTATTCTGTAATTCTTTTATGAGTGCCTACTAAGTGCCAGAAGCAAGGATACAAAATAGTTGCTGCCATCAAGGATCTGTGAAGGACACAAAAATGTACACAAAAATGTAAACCATCAGATGCCATAAAATGCATAGGGGCTATAATAGAAACTCGTGGAGACTCAGAATAGCAGTTTTTCCTGTGAGTGAGGTATTAGTGTCGTTAATTCTAATATGGTAACTAGAAAAGAGGTCTTTTATTTCATATTTTTATTGTTATTAAACAATTTGTTGATTTACTGTATTTGTAAACTTGTGTCAGTCGTATCAGTTTTTAAAATAAAATACTTTATCATTTTATCCAGACTTTATTTTAACTGAAAAATTATTGTTTGAACGTTGCATTTTATCTTAGTTACGTGTATATAGTTTTTGGAAATGGTGAACAGTGGAAAAGAAGGCTGTTAACTTTATGATTTAGAATGACAGCTTTTAGACATTTAAAGCCTATTTCCTCTGACTGATAATTGGCTTAAGAGAAGAAAAAGCTTTCTGACAGCTAGAGTTGTCCCATGTAAGATACTTGCTTCCCCTGCTACCTAGGGACAAAATTCCCCTAGTTTCCGTAAACACCAAAATTTCGAGAATTTTTTTCCCTTGAAGCTCAAGATTCCACTGAAAACTGTGATAGAAGGTCATGTAAGAGAGGAAGAATTTATTTTCCTATGCATTTCTTGTTGCCAGAGGACATAGTTGTTTTCCATTATTTTCAGTCTCTTAGGATATTGTAGAAAGGTTTATTTTATGGGCTGATATCTTCCATTATTTCTAGTTTCAGGATTCTTTGATATGTTTTGATTAAACATGAACTCAAGCTGCTAGTCCATAGATCTGGTTCATTTTGAATCTGTAGTGGCTAAATGCTAACAGATTGGCTGTTAATCTAGGCAGTAGTATGAAATTTCAACTATCTTAATGAAAAAATGGAAGAAGTCATTTCTGATTGATCTATTATATAGCTGAGTGTTAGTCTAAAACTAACCCTTGCTGTTGTAGTTATTATGTGTAGCCCTAATCAGGCCAAGACTATTTGAGAGCTAAGGAACTTGCCGTTCCTAATACTGGGATAAAATTCCCGATTCCCATTAAAATTTCAATTTTTTTTTCCTTCTTTTCACAAGCTCAAAATGCCATTAAAGGAGTGTGGGTAGAAGGAGAAGGAGGGGGGATTGAAGAATCTACTTTCATATGTTTATTTTTTTTTAAGGCAATCATCAAATGCTTAGAGGATCGAGGGGTTTTTATTTTACTTACATCATCAGCCTTAATATCAGATACAGGTAAGGACAACTTTATTGAAAAAAAATTTTTCAGTATGTTTACTTTTGTTTAATAAGATCATGCAGCCTTAACCTGTCTTCTGATTCTCGTTCTGTGAAGGTTTTGAAGATGAACAGATGGGTCTACATGGGTTGCATTTATTCCATTCATCCCTGTCAACAGGTAAAGATACAGTGACTTACAGTTCACTAAATCTATTGGATATTTTTTAGTCATCATTTTACTTGACCTCTTAGTAGCATATGACACTGTTAACTATTTTTCCTTCCTTTTAAATCATTCTCTTCCTGTTAACCTCCCTGGTTGAACCTGCTTTATCTCCTTTGCAGGCTTATCCTTTCCTCTAAACTTCAGACCCATATATCCAACTGTCGACATTACCACTTAGATATCTCAAACTTACCTCAGATTCAGCGTGCCCAAAACCAAATTCATGATTTTCCCCTAGAAATTTGTCATCTTCCTTCATTATTCTCTATCACTGTGAGTGGCCTCACTATCTAAGCCAGAAACCTAGGACTTATTCTTAATGTCTTCTTTCTTAGTCCCTATATCCAGTCCGTTACTAAGTCCTGTCAATTTAACTTTGTAAATGTCTCTTGAATCCTTCCACACCTCCCCATAGCCATTGCACCTCCCTAGTCCAGGCTATTGTTACATCTTATCACTGTCTCAAGATGACTGCAAAAGCCTCCTCAGTGGTCTTACAACGTTTACTCTTTTTCATTATCCATTCTTCTCTCTCTGATACTATATTACCTGTTAATAACCCTTCAGTGACTTGCCATCTTTCTTAGGTTAAAGTCTGTACTCGTTAACAAGGCCTTCAAGGCCCTGCATGATCTGTTCTCTGCCTGCGTCCCCAACCTTATATCCAGTAACTATTATGTTCTTCAGTCATATTGGCCATCATTCAGTTTCTTGATTGGTACCAAGGTGTTCCAGCTTTTAAGATTTTTACACATAGTGTTCCCTTTACCTAACACAATTTCACACACAGTCTCAAATATCAGTATCAGGAAAGTCTGTCTTAAACATCTATCCTTCACCACACTGCATCAGTTTCCCCGCTTATATCTACAGTGCTTGGCTCACTGTAGGCTCTCAGTATTTGTTGAATGAATGAACAAATGAATGAACAGATAAATATAAGTTTCTTATAATCCTTTTCAGAATTTAGCTTGTGTTTTAATTTATGCTTTAATTTTTCATGTAATCTGTATTATAGAGTAATGCAAATTCTCTGCCTTTGCTTTATAAATATCTACCTATAGAAGTATGTGTCCCAAAATGTTTTTATGAATACAGGGAAGACTTCACTAAAGTATACCATTATAGTATCCAAAACCAAAAAAACCAAACCTACTGCAATTGAGTCGATTCTGACTCATAGCAACCCTACAGCATAGGTTAGAACTGCCCCATAGGGTTTCCAAGGCTGTAAATATTTATAGGAGCAGATTGCCACATCTTTCTCCCACAGAGCAGCTGGTAGATTCGAACTGCTGACGTTTAAGTTAGCAGCTGAGTGCTTTAACCACTGTGTCACCAGGGTTCCTGTTATAGTACCCGGTATCATATACACCCTCTCCTCACTTATTGATATGGCTAAGTTCCAAAGACCAGTTTGTTACGTGAAATCAGCATTGTGCGAAAATGGAGGATGACCACATCCTATCACAAACTAGAGGATGACTACATCATACATAACTGCCAAATTACATCATTATGTAACTACCAAACCACTGAGAATGATGGCCCAGCCAGGTTGACACATCACCTCAATCATCACAGCCAGCATTATACTCATGTTGCACCTCGGCATTTTTTACTGCCAGACGTACGTTGTTAATGTGCAAAATAGTTGGATAGTAGAGTTTTTACTCTTCTCATAAACGTGAAATGTCAGAAAATGAGATAGTCTGTAAGTGAGGAGAAGGTGTTAAACCATTTTCACGTTCTGGCTGGTAGTTCATTATTAACATTTTTATTGTTGTTAGTATGGATACAGTTGTACTATTTTCTGATGAACTCTACTACCAGTTTGATATAGCTTAGCTGTACTCATTTAATGAGTGGAACATATCAGAGACTTTTTATTTGGCAACCTTTGTTAATGAACAATAATTAATAATAGTCTAACAAATAAACGTGATTCAAGGCCTTCATACTCTACCTAGACTTTTTTATATTTCATTTCTCTTTCACTTGTTACTTATTTAAAATAATGAAATGCAAAGAAAGGAATTTTTGTTTTAATATCCAGTCAAAATTTTCTGTTTCACCTTTTTTTTCCTTTTCCCAATACCTGCTATAGTGCTAATATATTTAATTAGTACTAACTTGATGATTCTTAATTCTACAGTTACTTTTTCTTTAAAAAGAAAGGTATAATCCATATTTCAGATTAGTAGGCAATGAAAGTTGTTATCTTTGAGTTTATATTACTTACAACTCTTAAGTTTTCTAGGATTTTATTATGTAGTTCACAGGTACCTGACCTTTTAAACGCTTTTCTTCCCTCTGTTTTCCTTTAAGTTATTGATTCACTGAAAAATTATCATTTCAGAGTGAGCCAGGGAGAAGAGGTGAAACATAACTAGTTAGTTATTCTACTTAATAACTTTTTAAATTTCTGTTTTATTTGCTAGAAAAAGTAGTGAGATTAACAAAATGAGATTTAGAGATTATTTAGGGGTTTTATTTTATTCAGTTTAGTTGATTTGCATTGTAACTTCTTAAAAGAGTTCGAAGTGAGTTATATAGTAATAGATAAGATAGATTTTAATAGCAGAAAATTAGAATTAAATAGTTAGAAAAGCAAGTATACGCACTCTAAGGGCTGGTATTATTGTTAAGGCGGCCATTGAGCTCACTTTGAGCTCCTTGTCAAATAAGATGGAGCTGGAAATAGAATTTCACTTACTCTTTTTAACCTAGCAATTATATTTTGAGTTACTCTTTTTCAGTTCTCTTTCTCTCTTTCTGTGTTTGTGTGGTTGTATGATTGTAAATATATAGGTATGTATTATTTTAAATATGTGGTTATATATCTGTTTCTTTAAATGTACCCATAAGTCTTCTGTTAATTGCCATTTAGACTGTCATTGGAAAATAGTATAGCATATTTAACATTCCGTAATTCTGAAATCTAATTTTTTTCTGCATGTTTTTGTAAAAAACAAAAACAAACAAAAAACTTCAGGTTTTTAATTTATGTGTGTATATTTTAGGAATGAAAGATTTGAAGGTTGAAGATGGTATCTCACTGAAGGTGACACCTATTTTGCCTGCCCTTAATTGTGCCCTGCTAGAAGCAAAGAAATCATTTACTGAAGAAGGAATCCGCCCAAACACATTAGTAAAGCAGAATTTCCAAGAGTTGTACAAAGTAGACAAAAGTCCTTCACTGACTGCCTCTTCTCAGGATGGAATTAAAGAGACTGCGTTCTTTGGCAAACTATCCAATGGTTTTGACTTGGTTCCTCTAGCTGAAAAGTGCCCTTTACAATCTTTAACTCAATTAAAATCTTATTTTTCAGATCCTAGTGGTTATATTTTGGAAGTATCTACTGCTTTAGATTTATTAGCAGAGCATCCTCAGTCTCCTTGTGTTTCAGATGGAATTTGTGATGCTGGATTTTCTTTAGTTATGACTCCAGATCCTGAATTTCTTGACTCAGAGGCAGAATTAAGAAAAGAAACAGAAACAGAAAACAATTCTGAGGAAATTTTTAAAGCAAGAAAAGGAAGTATGGTCCCGTTAAGTCCAGCAGCAAATCTGAGAGTTCAGCCGAAGAGGAAGGCAAGTGCACCACTCATGATACAAAGTAAAAGGGTGAACTTGTGTCGCCCTTTTCCCAAAAGAACTACTGCTGGAACAAACAATGGTTTGGACTCTGCAACAACTCTTAAACTGGCAAAAGGGCAGTTTCCTCAGAAAAGAAAAAGAGGTAAGCGTGATTTATTGAAATTATTAAATTAGCAGATAAAACTAACTGTTGTATTGTAAAACTCTGCTGGGTCAGTGCTGCTCAAGAAGTGTGGATTGTGGCTTGGCAGTAACGTTAGAAGCTTGTTAGAAATGCCAGCATTTCTCTCCAGGTGATTTGTGTGCACGCTAGAGTTTGAGAAGCACTGATCTAAATCATGGATAAGAACCAAGACGTAGGAAAAACTGTACGATTCCTCAAAAGCCTATCCGCCAAAAGCTTATAATTATTTGTAAAACTGCTCCAATTTTCATTTGGTTATTATTTAGGTACCAGTTAGTTTTTATCTAGTTGCTAAGCCATCGTCTGACAAAGAGTGGAGAAGAGGACTTTTTTAAATCAGGCACACCAACATTAGCCAAAAGTGATAACTGATAGAGTAAGCACATATAAAGAACCACCCCCACCCTACTCCCCACAAAAAAGCCTGGGACCTGCAGAACTATAGCAGTCTGGAAGGCAGAGTTTCTAATCCTTTCTGTGTGTCAGAGTTTTTAAAATAGTCACCGGGATCCTACCACAGATCTATTGGAAACATTCTGCCAGCGGCCTGGAAATAGGTAAATTGAAAAAGTTCCACAAATGGTTTCATTGCCCCTTGGAAACTGAAGGAGAATCAAACCATACAGAGCCATTTATTATATAACAGATGCACAGCACAGCAGACAACATGATTTTGGCTTAGAATCATCTCAAATTAAATTATGTTTAGTATATTTTGTTTAAAAATGAGAACTACATGCTATATTTGAGAGAAGGGATCAGTAAACTATAGCTGAAGGGCCATTCATTTGTTTATAAATTGTCTATGGCTATTTTTAAGTTCCATTGGCAGAGTTGAGTGGTTGTGACGGAGACCATATGGCCTTCAAAGCTGAAAATATTTACTATCTGGCCCTTCACAGAAAAAACTTGCTAATCCCTGTTTTAGAGAGAGTCCATCTGTAATGTTTTGAGTTAAAAATTTTGGTGCATAAAGAAGTACCTAGAATGTGCAGATTCTTGGGATTCTAGATAATTAGGATTTTACTCTATGGTTTAACAAGCAGTTATTCCTGGCCTATTATGGTTGGAGAACTGTTGGTTTTGTGTGTGTGTATGCGCACGCACGCGCGTGTATTTAGGAGGATGAAGGAAAGTATGACAGTATAAAACAGTGAATCAAACTATACAGTTATGTAAATATATTCCAGGCCTGCCATATTGTTTTGTTACATGTAAACCAGTATTCTTTACAGTGTTGAACAAATTATCTGTAATTTAACATATATATACTTTTTCATTGTTTCTCAAATTGTATTACAATCCATTGTAAGAAATAGGTTTTATATTGTAGCCCAGTGCACACAAATTCATATATGACTGAAACAAAAATTCCAAAAAACAGCATTTAACCTACATGTGATACAATCTCATATTTTCTATTTCATTGAAAAAAAATTCTGATTGTGACCTATTAAATTTATTTTGCAACCCACCAGTGGATTGTTACATGCAGGTTGAGAAACATGGTGTTGAGCAATGCACATAAACAGAATACTCCCTACTGGATCAACTTGTTTCATTTTTCTTCTCCTAAGACCTGGTTTTGTGAGAGAGCTTTCCTTCTAGCTTGTGCAAATATCAACTTTTCCCCCTAGGTCTTGGTTGTCTTACCTTGTTTTCTTCCTCTTTTAATTTGTTCTTAACTATTTTCCTGCTTAATTTATATTTTACCTCTCCTTATGCTGAAGCTTTTAGAAAATGTAACTGGAGTGAAATGAGAAGTCTTATTCTTAAAAAACAATCAGTATACTCCTTAAAAAGGAATAAAATGTGTTCTGTTACAGCATGACTACCTGTAATAGTTTAGTAGGGAGGAAAATAATTAGATCCAGGGAAATGTGTAACATTAGAGATTCTGAAAGTTTTTTTAGGAAGCATTCCTTTCTCTAATCCCCAAAGGACCGCCCAAATTTTTCCAGTGAAGTGAATCTCTCTCTCTACATTTCGTGAACAGTCATCACAATTTTTATACTATTTAATATCATGTTTAGTGTTTTCAATTAAAAATAGTGTTTTCTGTATAATATAATTTAAAAATACTTGCCAACATCCACATGTATGATTTTTTTTTTTTTATATTTATGATGTTTTAGGGGATAAAATTTTTCTGTGGGAATAACTGAATTTATAAAAAGCCCAGGTGGAAACAAGTTTTCAAAAGAGAGCCTTTATTCAAATTTTTTTAACTCTGGAAGATTGAAGCGTTTGCTATTGTGTAATCTAAGTAGGTAGTTGGTATTTTTTCCCATCTACCTTTACCTTTAGCTGTTTCCTTACTTTTCACGTGAATAGCAAAGCAGAGCATTTTGTGAGAGAGGTTAACAATTATAGTAGATTGGTAGGAAGTAAAACCAGGTGAAGACTTTCCTCAGTGTGCCTTCCTGTCTTCTCTTAACAGATTATTTCTTAGTTGATATTAAGACTTAGATGTGTAGGAGTAGTGAAGTAAAATATATTATTCTTTATATATACAATCTCTTCTCTCTACAGTGTGATTATAGTTTCTGACATCACCTTATGGGAGTTTGTTGCTTTTGTTTAAACTGTATTATACATCTCTCAGTGCTGTGAACTAGCAGATTCAGTCTTACCTGCCATATCAGTTACTAAAGTTTATAGAGACTTTTAAAAATTAAGTTGTGCTTTGTTTTTATAAAGTTATTACTCTAATGTCTCTCTTCTTCACCTGACTATATATAGACAGAGACACTTGGAAAGTTCAAATTTTTTTTATGTGAGAATTTCCAACTCATGCTTTGTTAAAAAAAAAAGTATTTTCATGAAGTGCTCAAAACTTTATATTTTATTCCCCATTCTTAAAGTTACTCCCTAAAAAACAAAAGGAAAAAATATGCTGATAAATATCTGAGCCCTTACCCCTAAAAAAAAAAATGGTGTCTTCTCTACAAAAGGTGCTGAAGTGCTGACTGCACAGTTTGTACAGACAACCAAACTGGATAGGAAAAACGAAGAAGCTTCTATTTGTAAAGATGTTCCAGTGGCAATGAATGCTAAAAGGGCAAGGAAACGAGAGAAATCTCCAGTCAAAACTGTTCCAAAGGCTAAGCCATCTGTGAAGAAATCTCTGCAAAAACAGAGAGTAAATATAGTAAAAGGCAATCAGAATCCCAGAATCAGAAAACAACCACAACCTGGTAAGAAATAGTCTTCCTGTAAATTTAAATACTACAATACAGATCTAACAGATTGCAGGATAGCATATTGATATAAAAGCAGTTAAGATATATCAGTAATTCTATCTAATTCAAACACAGGTATAAGTAACTTGGTTTCCTATTGTAAATAAATTAGGAAAGTGCAAAGATTCAAGCCTTCATAAAATAGACGCTAGTTTTTAGTTTGCATAAACCTGAGCATGAATTGTCTACAAGAGTTGAAGTATAGATGACTTTAGTCATTTATGGCTAAATGTACATGGACATTGTATCTGGCAGTACTTTTGTGGACCATAATCAGTTATAAGAAGTAGAAAGTTATAAGTTTATTTGCCTAAAGGGAATTGTAAACATAGATTATTCGAAATAGTCAATAATCCAGAATCCTGTATTTGATTTTAAAAGACATTAATTTTAAAAGCAGCTTTACTTTTCTAATTTTGCTTAAGTGAATAATAAAGTCTAGTTATATGAACAAACAACTGACTGCTTTAATTCCATATTTTCAACTGCTAGATATGTCCTCTTTACTTGAAAGTCCTGTTGTCACCTTAGACCTTACCTCTGTTAAACTGAACACATACCAGCTTCTCTTCCAGGTCTGATTCCTTTCTTTACTTCACTCTGACCCTCACTAATCTCTCTTTTCTTTCATTTCCTTTTGGGTTTTTGCAAACGTTATAGAATTCATACTATTTTAGCGGTGTCTCTTGGAATTTTTTTTGTACTTAGCTCTCAGATATTTACTGACTGACTGATTAATGGGAGGAGGTGTACAATTGGGTAATTGGCAGAAAAGTGAGCCCAGAAAATGAAAAGCTATCAAAATGTATATTCAAAAATAGGCTGATTGTGTTGTGAATGTCTGTATGTATTGTGCAGCCACATTCTGAGTTAAAATTTTAAGGTTACTACCTTCTAAATCTCTTAATTTTTCCACCATTTCTTAACCACTTGTACTAATTAATCCATTTTATTTCTTATACTTAAGATATCAGAATTTAGGAAAGCAGATGGAAACATAGCCACGTTGGCCTCAGTTTGAAAATTACAAATTTAAAATATTTTGAGTTTTAATTTGATTATCAGAATGAAATGAGAATTTTTATGTCAATTATGTTGTTACTGAGACTAATAACTTTCTTTTTATAGTGTTTTATTCATTGAACTCTATTTTTTAATGTAATTTGGCATCATCTTATTGGTATCTTTTAAATAGAGATAGATTATTAGTGTTATATCTTTAATTGACTGAGAATTAACAAGTCAGTAATTAAATGATTTACCTGAAACTACACATATTTATTAAACTGAATCAGGAGTAGTCATTTCTTTTTACTTCAGTACAGTATTCTTTATATTAAGCCATGCTTGTAACTGATACTCTGTGTAAGAGGTAAATAAAAATACGAAAGCCATAATATTAACAAAGATAGAATGAAATTAGTGTCAATAAATGTGTCAGATCATAAAATGAACATCATGTTTCCAATACACCAGTGAGGCTAAGAAGAGATTGCTTTGCTTTGAGTCCGTTTCTTCCACCTAGCCTCCTTGGGTTTAGTATTTTAAATAAAAACTAGGCACTGCTTGGTCAATTTTACCCTCCCATGCACATATACCCTTATCATTCTGTTTGACAGCCTCATAGGCCAGAATTTTCTTCTCATCTTTAAATGTACTGGTCATTGGCCTCTACAAACAGGTTGTTAATTCATTTCAGATCTGTTGCTGTCAATTATAAAGAGGGGCACAGTTGGCTTTCCTGTTCATCCACCTACCTGCAATAGACAATCATTGCCAAGTACAGATGTGAACTTTATTATCCTTCATAATAACAGCTTTTAAGGAGGCTTAATTAATGTCTGAGAATGGCTAAGTAAACCAGTTGAGAATGTAACCCTTTTATGATTAAAGGCAATTGGATAGACTTGATTGTCTTCAGAAGGGAGCATTGTCAGTAGACATGATTTGCTATTTTGTGAATAAATTAGAGGGGAAATGTTTTCATTGCTGAAAATGAAGTTATAAAAGGTGATGAAATTAATTGGTGTTTCTAAATACTCATGACTTTTCTAATTGTTTATTCTTAACATTACATCTTATAATTAAAGATCAACATGGTTAAAGGTCATCCCTAGTTTGCATTTAGGTAGTTTCTGCAATAAATCACTTGTTAAGTGAAATGATTTCTAAGAAAATACGTTAACATACTATAATATACGCTTAAAAACCCATTGCCGTCAAGTCAATTCCCACTCATAGTGACCCTAAAGGACAGAGTAGAACTGCCCCATAGGGTTTCCAAGGAACACCGGGTGGATTTGAACTGCCAGCCTTTTGGTTAGCAGCTGTAGCTCTTAACCACTATGTCACCAGGGTTTCCAGTATATACTTAAAACTTACAAATTCCTAGATTTTATAAATTCACATTATAAGCTCCCGGAGGGTAGGACTCTGTTTTTGTTTCTGCTTTTTCCCTCTTTGTGTATTTCTTTAATTTAGCAACGTGTCTTATATGCAGTTCAATACATGCATTTCGAAGGGTAGTTTCTTTTTAGATTAACATGCATACGCCTTAAGACTTGTCTGGTCAATAAAGTATAATAGATCTAAGAGCTGGAAGAGACCTCAGTCCGATAGTAAAATTTTTAATATACAATCTGTGTTATAAACAGGAGGTTTTTTTGAATATGTTCATCTAACCATTATTTTTCACTAAAGCATAGTAATATGGCAAATAATTAATTCTAAGAAAATCAAATGTTACATCTTTTTTTTTTTCTTCTTTATATTGAAGCCAAAGGAGAAACTGCCTCACAGCTTCAATCGGAAATCTTATCAGATGGTCAAGAAAATATTATTAGCATAAATGCAGCTCAACCAGAAAATACCACAGTGGCTCAGAAAGATCTTCCTGAAAACTCCATTGTCAACTATGACTCTCAGGCCCTAAATATGTTAGCTGATCTAGCTTTAAGCTCTGCTACCTCCTCCACACTATCATCTGAGCCTAGAAACCTTCCCTGCACCTCTGACTTGCCACAGAATGATGTTTTGCTCTCTAAAGACAATTCTTTGCGAGGTACATCTGACCATGAATATCACAGAGGAATTAAAAGTCAAAAAGGTGGACTATTACCTAAGGCCTCCCCTGATAGGAAGACTAATTCAGTGTCAGACTTAACTATTAACCAAGATGAAGAGAGCTTGGTTCCTTGTAGCCAAGCCCCTGTTAAAGCCCAGTCTGCACTTACTGAGGAAACACTAGAAACTTCAGACGCAAGCCAAAGCTCTTGTGTTGTTGTGGAGCATTCATACGCCCTACTCCTTGCGGAACATTCGAAGAAACATCTACAGCAGAGAGGAGTACAAGGCCCTGCCTTTGCCAAGAATGGAACAAAAGGCCCTGAAGCAGGAACCCCAGTGGGAAAAGTTATGCCATTTCGGCATCAGCAGAACACCTCCCCTTTGCAAAAGGTCTTTGATCCATTGGTAAAGCGCAAGAGTAGATTGATGTCTTCCAGCCTAAAAGACTTCTACTGCTCTCATACCGTGTTTAGCTGTGATGGCTCCTTTAAGGTCACTTTCAAATGTGACACAGAATATGTGTTCAGCTTAGATAGCAAATATACTAACAACGCACTAGAGAAAACTGTAGTAAGAGCTTTACATGGGTAAGTGAAACTTGAAAACCGATTTGACTTTTTTGTTGAGATAAATGTAGTGAGAGGGGATACTTGTGCCAGACTTCGGGAGAGGAGAAGTGTTGTGTGTAAAACCAAGCACATATGTTTACTGGCAATTAAAAATAAGGTACTGGTTTTTCCGTTATCTGTCAATGGTCACATGGAGAACTTTTTAAAGATAACTTTAGCTTTGTGAATGGCTTTCCACTTTGAGATGCTGTTTTATAAGCCTTGGTGGCCTTTGAATTATAATATTTAGATGAGGTCTTAATATAAAATAGATAGAGAACTAATGTTCTACAGACTGAATTCCAGAAGATACATTTAAAGAATTACTTCTTGTTAAGTTGGTCAGATTGATATGAGTGAGCAGTTTTCCAAAGGGATATTCTGTCAATCTTTAAAAAGAGATCGAGGCCATAATAGCAGTGTGGTTAAAAGTTCAGACTTTGAAGTTTAAACTAACCTAGATTTGAATCTAGGCTCTTCCCACCTATTAGCTTTTGTGAGCTGGGGCTTCAGAGCTACTGTTCTCAGACTATTGTGTTTATGACTCATTTCGGTATCTTAATGAACTACAGATTCTGACTCAGTCTTTTTCGGGTTGGGCCGGAAAATCTACATGTCTAACAAATTTTCAGGTGATGCCAGTGGAGGATGATAGTCTGTAAACAACACTTTAAATATGGATTTAGTAATGGCTACGTTATGAGGTGGTTATGTACGTTAGGGATTTACACAGTGACTGGTTACTAATAAATGGTAACTGTGACTCTTAGCAGTGGAGTCCTTTGGGTATTAGTCCAAAGCTCTAGTACTTTATTTGTTAAGTCAACTTCATATTTATTCATCGTTTCATGTTGGCAGTTTTAAAACAAAGAACTAAGGTTAAAAAGGCACAAATGGTTAAGTACTTAACTACTAGCCAAAAGATCAACAGTTCAAATCTACCCAGAGGTGCCTCAGAAGATAGACTCGGCAGTCTGCTTTTAAAAGCTCTCCGCTTTGAAAAGTTTATGGAGCACAGTTCTATTCTGACACACGTGGGATTGCCATGAGTTGGAATCTACTCCATGGCAGCCAACAACAACTCTTAGCAAGAAGCGTTAGCTATGTGAAATGACATTCAGCTACCTATTAGTGAAATTTTCACATGATGAAATTGATTCCACATATATCTGACTTCTTTTCTTCCTCATGTTCGCATACAGTATGTTCATATATACTCACAAGGGTCATTTCCTTGGCCTTCATCCTGTTTAACTTAGCCTAACTCTGCAGCCTCTCTGACTCATCCCCCTCTAGGTATCTGCTATCCTCCTGTCTGTCACATGCTCAGAAATGTTTTGTACCTCCCCTTATGGTGTCAGGTTATTTTCCAGAACTGTAATCTGAAAATAGCATAGTTCTGCTGAATTGCCTGCAGAAATACTTTAATCTTCAGACTTTCCCAAGTATTAGAAGAGAGATACAGAAATGAAGAAGAAATGAGAGCCAGCCAGACCTAGCAAAAGCAAGGGAATGAGGATTTGGGTAGTTGCTGAAACAAGTATTCACATAATAACTATATTGTGTTTGTGTGGTGTAGAGGAAAATTACTAGACTGGGAGTCAGGGGACCCATGTTCTTATCCTGGGTGTACCATTTATGGGTTTTGTAGTTTGGAGGAAATCACTTAAATGTTCTGATTTCTCAGTTCTCTTCTCTATAAAATGAATGAGTTAGATACATTTTAATGTTTTTTATTTTTTTCAGTACTGTCATTCTAGGAGTTTATCCTTATCTCTGAGAGAGAATATAAGTAGAAAAGAATTGTAGATAGTACTTTAATTTTATTTGTTAAATCAACTTCATATTTATCTTATTGTTTCATGTTGGTATAATTTTAAAAACAAAGAACTAAGGTTAATAAGACACTTTGTTTATGATAGTAAGATCATGCATTAAAATAACTGTTTTCAATGATTTTTGTGTGTTATTTTTTCTTAAATCTCAGGCCCTGGAATACTGATTTGCCTGATAATGTGGAAGAAGTGAAGCTTTTACTTCATATGTGGGTAGCTCTGTTTTATAGCAATCAGAACAAAGTTATACGATCATCCCGAAAAGTCGTAGAACACAGCAACCCAGCAAAATATGTATCTATAAATAGCACAATAGACTCTTTCGAATTCAGTGAAATCGAGGAGTCCTTCAATGTGGACAGATGTTCTGCGGACCCTCTAGTGGAGAGTAAGGAAACTTCCAGGGGTCAAGCTACCGAAATGTCCTCCCCTGACACTAACAAATTGCTTCCTTTTATTAAACCACCACCTGCAAGAAGCTTGGAACTCTGTGTACAGAGTGAACAGAAAGAAATGTTTGCAAGAGAAAGTCATCATGATAACTCGGGAAGCCACAATTTCATCTATTCTTGCAGTAATGAGGTATGTAAGGCTGAATACTGTAAATGCTGGCATTATGTTTGAAGGAATTTTCTTCTTGGTATGTAAAATCACATTCAAAATAAGGGATTGGTTTATTTTTAAGAAAGTGGATTCTCCAGCTGTGTAAAGAGTTACAATGCCAAAAACCTAGTTTTTATAAAGTGTCACTCCAGTGAACTGGAGCTGGAGCTTATTGACCATCCTGATTGAAGAAAGAGAACTAGAAAAAAATCACAGGGGTCAGATGATCTGGGTGCCAACCATAATTTTGTCACTTACTAGTTATGCAGTATGGGGCAAGTTACTTATTCTGAGTTTATTTTCTTATCTTTTAAAAGAAATGAATAATACCTGTCATATCTTAGCTAGAGTATTGTTTAAGGATCAGATGTGGTAATCATAAATATTAGAAATGCTGTGATAAACCTTAAAGTAAACTAAACTTGATTATATTAAAATGTTTAAGGAAAAAAAAATAACAGTAAATAAAATGTCAGACCTATGAGAGGAGTTATTGCAGGTAACTGTAAATATGGAAAATAAATTTTGTTCTGTTCCATTATTCTCACCTTATGTTCAAACATGTGAGGTAACCCAAATTCTAACTGGGGCAAATCAAAAAGTTACATCAAAATTCTAAGGAAATGGATTGACAAAATATATACGTTTAAAGCTTTTACTCTTGCATGCACTTGAGCAGCAGCTACCACTGTCTGTCTCAATATTGAGTAGCTTCTAATACCTAGGGTTCCCGGGTGAACTTCACAGGGTCTGCGAATTTCTTGAGATAATCATCATCATTATCAAAACCAACGTTTATTGAGCACTGTGTGCCAGATAGTATTCTAAGCCCTTTACTTGCATTAATTTCTCACAGCAACCCTCTAACTAAAACCAGTTAGTAAATTGTCTAGCCAAGATTCAAATCTAGACAACCTAGATGTTTCTCAGTGTTGAAGTCTATATATACACACACACACACACACACACACACACACATGCATATATTATGTGTTTATGTGTATATACACATGTGTATGTATGTATATATTATGTATATGATTTTTTTTAATATGGGGTCCATAAATTTCATATAACTCTCAAAAAGAAACAAAGTCCAGTTAAGAATCACTACCTTAGAAGAAGAACATATTTATAGCTTAGTTTGGCAGATTTCACTTTACTACCTGTATACTTACAAAGTACTTTTTGTTGTAATATGTAATTAACTATCATTAGTACTGATTTGAGGAATGATTTTTGGCACACATGAAATTGTGTATAAAGAAGTATAAAAAACGGATTATTAAGATTAATGATTTCTAACAATTTCTCCAGCATTTACTTAAAAAATTTTTTCCATCATCTTAGATACTGTGCCTACATTTTTCAGGCACACACACCCCCACACACGATATACCACTCCCTTACTCTACAAATAGGCTAGGATGTGAAGAGAATTGTAGCATGATAAGCATTAGAAGCCAATAGCATATTGCTTTTAGTCATGTGTTTAATTTAGTATTTCTTTTTAAATGATTAGACTTTGTTAGAAACATTACATTTTACCTGCAGCAGATATATGCGTGTGTGCGTGCGTGCGTGCGTGCGTGTGTGTGTGTGTGGCAAGATTGTCAAAATTTGCATTTCACCAAGACCTGAAGCGAGGTATAGTATCTGCCAAGTCCAGAGATGTAAGAAAAGGTGAAGCCAGGCATGGTGAGATTCAGATTCAAGACTGTGGCCAAATGTTAACAGCCACAGCATGATGCAGAAGGTCATGGAAGAGTTATCAGAATGACTGTCACCAGCAAGACTCTTACAGTGCTTTGTGTCTGGTCAGTCATGTCCTGTTAAAATTCCTGAGTCTCAGCTTCACCCTGCCTTATTACTTGGGTTGGTTTCTTTCTTTTGCTTATGGCAGAAATATCTTTAACAAGAAGTTTAAAACACAAATACTGTCTTCCAAGATGGTTGCCTCAGGACATGGTAGGAAATCTGTGAATATAATGTTCCAAGAATTATGAAAGTATCACCAATTATATAATCAATCCATTTTACCATGTTCTGGACAAGACACTGCTTCAGCCTTTAAAAAAAAAAGATAAAACCCTGTTTATGAGGTTATCAAAATTGTTCAGAGGTATTTTTGCTAATGTTTGACGTAAATCCTTCTTGCTGCTGTTTAAATCTGAGCCCTGGTGGTGCAGTGGTTAAGCGCTCAGCTGCTAACCGAAAGGTTGGCAGTTTGAACCCACCAGCCACTCCACAGGAGAACGATGTGGCATGGCAGTCTGCTTCCGTAAAGATTACAGCCTTGGAAGCCCTATGGGGCAGTTCTGCTGTGTCCTATGGGGTCTCTATGAGTCGGAATCAACTGAACAGCAGTGGGTTTTTTTGGTTCACTGTTTAAATCAGTCCCTGTTGTTTGTTTATTAATGCCAGTCACATTGATAAGTTTTCTTTTGCTCTGAAAGAGGAGATACTGTAATGAGGAAGATTATCTACAGTTACAAGCAAAGAAGATAACTAAGGGGTAAGGGACTTTTATTACTGGAGTGGAGATTGATACCTTGGGAAAACAGCTAATCATTGTTTTCTGAGTACAGGGGATAGTTATTACTCTGTTTTCTCACAGTAAAGCTCTAGAGTATAGTGTATTTATAGTCTAATTGAAACTTGGTGTTAAAAAAATCTATTCTTCACTTTAAAGTTTATCTTTTAATTAAAATTTAGTGTTCTTTTCTAGTGCTAAATTTCTAAACTAAGTGATGCAAACAGACTGTATTTTCAGGTCTTCGAAATGTCAGTGGTCTAGCCACTTTTCTTCTGAGAGGTCCATTTTTAAAAAAATTGTGCAATCAAGAAAGTTTTGGAGTTGTCATCTGTGTATATTTTTAAAGAAAAAAGTTTCTATTTCAGGGGTATTTTAAGCCTAGCTAAAAGGAGAATTTACTTGATCTCTACTATGGATATTCTTACAGATTAGAAAAATGAAAAGACACAAACCAAAATTGATCCTTGCCTTTTCTGTTCTTCACATATATAATTGTAAAAAAAAAAAAATCTATTTCTGATTGTTTTGTCATTTCAGGTCATTGGAGAAAAAGCTGAACATGAAGAGTCAGATAAACTGGAAACTTCTAATGTTGTGCTCTCTAGTAATGGAAGTACCCAAACTAATGGACCTTCTATTCCTGATGAAGATAACACCTTTCAGCCACTTGATAGCGCAAGAATGACTTCTCACAATGATACTGTCACACAAACCACATTCACCAAGACTTACAATGGGATCAGCAGTCAGTCAGTGACTTGTCAGAAGTCTGCGTACAGCACTCTTGAAAGCAAAGTTGATGTTTTTCATACAACAGTGCAAGCAAAAACAGGGGTTGTACAGGGCCTTATCCAGCATAACAGCCCCATAAACAAAGAATGTCAGCCTTCACTGGAAAGGAAAGATGATGATATGGGGTATGTAATGATTAATCTGGAACCAGTTACTCTCACTTTTGAAAAAAATGCCTATGTACCAATACAAACAGAAGCTGTAAATAGAGCTGATAAATCTACAACCTTTAATATGGAGTTGATTAAACAAGTATCACCTGGTACAAGTCTTAGCCATCCTGTGTCCACGTTTGAAACGGCACAGACCCAAGGTCTTACAGACATTCCGTCTTTAGCGGGGTCAGAACAAAAAGGCAGTAGGTACCTTTGTGCCTCCTCAGTAAGTAGAGAGACGCTTGCTAAAGAAATGTGTTTGTTACAGAAAGAGAGTCCTCTTCGAGTGTCATCATCATCTTCTGATAATTCAGCGGTAAAGGAGGCAGTATCATTAGTTAAAAATTTTAATTATCCGTTACCCAGTGAAGAAATGAGACTCTCTCGAGACACTTTTCTGCAAACTGAAAGTCTCTTCAGCATATCTTCAGAAGATATTACAGAGGCAACACAGTTTGAAGAAGTAGCCTCATCATCAGCCTCTACCATCTTAGAAAGAAATTATCCACTTAACTGCATTTCATCAAGAAGTAATATATCAGATGACTCTTTAGAACTAAGGAAGAATGACAATGGTTGTCTAAACAGTGAAAATACAAATTTTGAATCATTTAATTCAGCATTTACCAAACAAACCAGCCTATCTATGAGTAGAGAAGAAGTCAGCCTAGAGTTATCAGAGGAAGATTCTGACATTGACCTAACTCTAACAATATCGCCGCCTACAAGTCCCAGAGAACAGATTCCAGCCGATGAAATAGAGCAACTTCAGGAGGCCCCATTATCAAGTTTAGAACTTCGGGATATAGCTGAAGAAATAATTGATCCAGAAGAGGTGACACTCATAGAAAACAGAGAAGTGAATTCTGCTGATTGTACATCACTGTCACAGGAGCCATTAGAAGATAAGGAGAAAAAAGGTGATGATTTTCAACCAGCCACTTTAGTACTTTCTAAAGACAGTTCCACCTTTGAGATTTCAGAGGAAGTTAATGTTACATCAGACTTTCCATATGATTCTTTAATTGAAGAAGTGTCACCAGCTTCTAGTCCTGACCCCCTAGTACCAGCTGAGGAAGCACGACAATCTCAAGCCATCTCTCTGTGTAGTTTAAAACTTCATGATACACAATGTGAGGAAAGTAACAAAGCTTCCCAGATTGAGTCGGTAGATTTAGCCATAACAGAAAAAGAAAATTCTTCTGTTGGTCCTACGCACCCAGTGGGACAGAATAACTTAACTCAGGTACAACAAATGCAGCGTTATGCTGAAATGCCTGTAGTATTGAATAGTCATCCAGGAGGAAAAGATAGACATTTAACCCTTCCTGGTAAAGTAACTGAGGAAATTGTCCAAAGTGAGAATGATAAGGTTTTATCTTCCCCAGAAAACGTACAGTCCTGTGATGCAGAATTAAACCAGCCTGCCTCAGCTGCCAAATACAGAGATGACTCTAAGCGTTCTCTTGAAAAACTGGTAAAACCAGGAAGCCCATTACAGTCAGTTAGTATAGAGAACAGAAATTTGGACTTAGAGCATCTTATGTTGGAGACTAGTGAACATTCATTTAGTCCTAGAAAGATTATTGAAAATAAGCCTTTGGCTGACACACTTATTTCCACAGCTGCTTCAAGTGGTATGAGTGTGTCGTTAGAACAGCCGACTAGCCCTAAAAGCATTAAGAAAAATCTCTTTAGCAGTGATTTGAAAACAAATGAAGGTAATTATTTGCAGGTCAAGTCCCTGAACTCTGACACACAGGCATGCGCGCACTCAGATATCTCAAAATTTGGTTCTTCCTCAGATAGTGCTACATTAACCCACTGTACAAGACCGATAAATGTAGAGACAGAGTTTCAAACACAGGAAATATCAGTAGTCAAAATGGCCAATTTGCTTAAGAATAGTGAAACTAAAGCTGAGTTACATAAAGAAACCACAGATCTAGGAGGTACTGTCTTTCAGTCTAACACTACATATTCTCAGAAAGGTGAACAGACAATCCACATGCTGCAAGATATGTCAACATATGAAACACAAGATCTTTTGAATGGTGGATTCTTTCCTGTGTATGCTGACTCTAACCAAAATACAGCAGACACCAGTGAAAATCAAGAGCCTTCTGCTTCCTTTGTTCCAAAATCTTTTGACTCTTCTGTTTGTGGAGTCTTCAAAGAATGTATGGAAAATAAGAGCACTAGTAAAAGGCTTGAGGCCGAGGATGGTTCTGAAACGCTGGATAGAGACGTGGATGTCAGTGTGAATTCTGACATACATTATGAACCACTTTCTGGAGACTCTGATCAAGACTCTTGTGATTGTAGGAATCCCAAATTAGACACGGAGGATTCTTGCACTTTGAGCTGTAGTCACACCAGAAAAAGAGAAGATGCTACTAAAGATGATTATGAGTCTTTCATGAGTGTAAACAGTAGTGATAATGAAGATTGGGGCTACTGTAACAAAGTACCAGGATTGGAGACAAGCATTCCTCCCAGAAACTGGTCCAGTGGCTTAAAGAAAGAAGATAAATGTGTACCATGTTATATCCAAATCAGAGATCTCCATGGTATCCCCAGGACCTATACCAACTTTACTGTAACTAAAGAGTTCAAAGATACCACGAGAACTTTGCATAGCTTGAGGAGGCACCCCAGTTTCACTGCAAAATGTGGCTTGATCAGTTCCTGGACAAGTACTTGGCAGATAGCAGATGACCTCACCCAGAACACTTTAGATCTGGAATATCTGCGCTTTGCACATAAACTAAAACAACTTGTAAAGAATGGGGAATCTCAGCATTCTGCCTCGTCCACCAATGCCTTTCTGACAGAGTCACCTATCCAAATTACTGTTGGAGCTTTCCCTTTAACAAAAATATCTGAGTCCCCTGTTGTACATCCTGCATCCAGGAGCAGAAGCCCGCTTCTGGTGACGATTGTGCACTCAGACCCTAGACAACGGAGTCAGCACGTGAGAAGCCACACGCCTAGCTATTCGGACAGTTCTTCCTTCTGGAAGGAGAGATGTCACAGTAGATATCATCTTCCAAATTCCGAAGGAAATCAGACTGTTTCATTCCATCTCAACAAATTGAAATATAACAGTACTTTGAAAGAATCTCGGAATGATATTTCACTTATTCTCAACGAATACGCTGAATTCAACAAGGTGATGATGAATAGCAACCAAGTGGTTTTCCAAGATAAAGAGCTAAATGTTGCTTCTGGAGAGGCCACATCTCAAGAGATGTATTCATCTTTCCCAAGAAAGCCAGCCTCCTATGAAGACATGATTACAGACTTGTGTGCCAATTTACATGTCAAACTAGAAAGTGTTATGAAAGAGGCTTGTAAAAGTACCTTCCTATTCTACCTTGTCGAAACAGAAGACAAGTCATTCTTTGTAAGAACAAAGGTAAAGTGCCAGATTTTTCTTACAGTTCATAGTATTTTGGTTGACTTCTAGTTTTAGTTTATTTTAGAAGTAATAAATTTCTCATTCTTGGCTTCCAAAAGAAATTATGGAATGAGATGGCGTTTTTACTTCACACACACATTAAAATTTTACAGTTCAGTCTTCATCTGCATATTAAGTGCTATGCTACAAGGATCTGCCATTTGTACTATATTTAAAGACTTTTATTATGTTCCAGAATTAGGAATGAAATAAAATTTCTCCACATAGTGACTAATTTTCACAAAAAGTTACCAGTGTAGACTTACCCAGATTCTAATGTAACCACATATTCCAAAACTAAAATGCAGATTAAAAAAAAAATTATTACCTGTGTTCCTCTCTTAGTGTGGATAATTGAGAGGGACCTCTTTTAGTTTTGGTTGAATTTTTAAAATTTGAATATTAGGTTAAGTGATGTTCTGGCAAGTACATGGTCCTTAAATTGAAGTGATGTAACCATGCTCAGATTCTGAGTTGGGAGAAGCCAGAATCTGACGTGATTCACTATTAGTTTCCTCATTTTGTCCTCTCAGAATTTCTATTCTCTTCTGTTTTATTTATTTCATGATAATATTTTTTAAATGACAGTTATTTACAATGGAAAACCACAAATTTTGTGCAAAGGTAAAACTAGTCGTCAGGTGAGAAAGTAGACACATTATAAAATAAACTTGAGACTCTGAAGATCAAAATTGTTCTTAAAAGATCAGAAAGATATCCCTGATGATAATCATTCTGTCCTGGAGAGTAAGGAAGCATTGATGAGCTGTGGGTTGTTAGATAAGTAACTTAGCTTCTCTGGGCCCCTCCTTTATTTATAAGGTGGAGAGGATCTACAAGGTCCTTTATTATTGTTGAAATTCTGAGTGCATGGACAAAATAGCCCAGAATTCCACAGGATTTGATGAAAATGTTGAACATACCAGAAAATTCATTCATTCAAATAGTTTATAAGTGAGGGCTAAAGAATTTAATACTTAGATTTTTTTTAGTAGGCTCTGTAAAAAGAACTGTTGTCTCTAATTGCTTTAAAATTGTACCATACATTTTGAGTAATGAATTAAAATAGTCAAAATTTGAGTTGTTTTGAAATCCAAGGGAAACTGATCAAAATAACACTATAAAGGAGAACAACAGGTATGGTCAGGCACAGTGTTTTTGGTGTAACTAGGAAACAAAACATCAGAGTGTGCAGTAGAAACCTCCAGAATCCTCAAGACAGAAAACATAATGTCAAAATCATAAGGGAAAGCTTACTCAGTGCCGCCCGGTCAATTCCAACTCATAGCAACGCTATAGGACAGAGTAGAACTGCCCCATAGGGTTTCCTAGCAGCAGCTGGTGGATTCGAACTGCTGACCTTTTGGTTAGCAGCCGAGCTCTTAACCACGGTGCTACCAGAGTTCTCGGGAAGGTAGGGTTAAGGAATTTCTGTAATTACACAAACAGTCTTACTATGGAGCTACTCTGTTTAATATGGTAGTAAATTGCATCTCAACAGTGCTTGATAACCACATGCTTTCTGTAGAGCAGGTTTAAACTGCATCACCTATCTTATTCAGATACCTAGATTCCAGGGAATATGAAATCAGTCCCCATTAATGAGACTCAGATGCATAGGTATTATGGGTAGTATAAGAAACAAGTTCTAGAAATGTTTTGACTAGAGGTGGCATTTTTAGAGTAAATATTTGATACCCCAAAGGTAATTCCCTTGAAGAAGATGAGACTCTTGTGTGTATATTAATATGATGCTTTTAAAAAATCAGCCTTTGATAACTTCATGGACATAAAAGATTATGAAGTGCTTTGCCTTCTAAAAGCAGTTGTTAATTATACCCAAGAGTCGTTTATGTATAAAAGAGCTTATTTAGTAATAAGACAGATTGCCATTTATGTTGCATTGTTAGGATATAATTTAGTAAATAGGATAAATTGTGCTCTTTTCATGGATCTTTAGTAAATTATGAAAGTAGTTCCTTGCAAGTATCCTGTTTTTTAGTAATGGCTACGTGTGACCTTTCAGAATATTCTGAGGAAAGGAGGCCATAAAGAAATTGAACCTCAGCATTTCTGTCAAGCTTTTCACAGAGAGAATGATACACTGATAGTCATCATCAGAAATGAGGATATATCTTCACATTTGCATCAAGTAAGTTTGGAAATACCTTTCTTACAAAGAAATGAAGTCCAAGCATTTTATGTTATTCTGTAATTATCAGACTTTCACTGCCTTTTTTATTTAGGGAAGAAGTTAAAACACATTATCATTGAATCTTTAAGTGGAAAAATAATGGGCTCAAGATAATCTTTTTAAAGACAGATTTCTTATTGATAGACATTGAGAGATGCAGATTTATATCTCAGATGAGAAAATTTACCAATACCTTACCTCTTTTCATAGTTTTCCCTTAGTTAATATGAAAATTTTCTTAAATCTGTGAAAAGCATGCATTCTTAAATCTGTAGCCAAAAACTTGACTTAGTCTTCAGTTTATCTTTTATGTGCTCCCTAATTATATTTCTAGATTTTATGAATAGAAATCTAGGCCTATCTTTTCTGTATTGCAACTGGACCTGCTATTTTCTAGGTTATACCATTGTTATGATATTTACGTATTAGTTAAATAAAAGTAATTGCTGGTTCCAGTAAGTTTCAACTTAGGGGCATAGGGTAGGTATATAATCCTGCTGTTGTCCATGGGTAATAACATGAACCCAAACACGAACCATTGCATAGTGACACTGGGACAATGGAATGATGGTGTGAATTAATGTGAAATAACTAGCTACTTTACAGGTCCCCAAAACCTCAGGTGTGCTCTTCCCTCACTGAATTGTTTTTATTTCCACCTTTTGAGAGCTTTTAGAGACCTCTTTTTAATTAACTAATTTTAATGAATTTGCAACCATTGATGATGAACTGAGTAAATATATTCCTTATGTGTGGCAAAATTACTAGTCAGTAATAAATGTTAAAAGGTATTTTCAGCTATTCTTCCTGAACCTTGAAACTGTTGGGTAGAAAAGTAACAAAAGGAAAGTGTTTTAAAAAAGAAAAACATGACCCAATGAACCTGTCTTCACTGGGGGGGGTCATTTTATGTTGAACAGATTCCTTCTTTGCTGAAGCTGAAGCATTTCCCCAGTGTCATCTTTGCTGGAATAGACAGTCCTGAAGATGTTCTTGACTACACCTACCAAGAGCTATTTCGTACAGGAGGCTTTGTGGTATCAGATGACAAAATATTAGAAACTTTAACATTAGGTTGGTCTATTATTTTTCTTTCTTGTTTTCTTTCTGTGAAATCTAGTCAGACACAATTTCTCTGTACCCAATGACCCAAATATTATTTCATCAAAAAGAAGTTGTAAACTCTAAATAATAATTGCAACCTGTTGAGGGCTTAATTTATGCCATATGCTATGCTAAGCGTTTTTTAATATAGTTTGATATAATTTTTCACTCCCAAAGCCCATGTTATTAACCACTTTTGTTTTAACTAATTATCTTCACTACCAAACCTGCTTCTCTTTTAAGTACCCTTCCTCTTAGTGTGCCTGGACTCCTATTCATACAAATCTGAGATTTTTATTCTTAAATTTGACTCCTTCATTTGCCAATTCAAGTCAACTAAACGTTAATTTTTTTTTTTAGAATCAGCCCTCTCTTCTCCATTTCTACTGCCATCACCCCTACTATCTCATTGATATAGCAATCTAAAAATGATTACTAAAAGTCTTCTTTATTGTCTGCTTGAACACTGACTAATAACTTACGTAGTTTATAAAAGAAAGAGCACAGGGCAGATGCTTTTATGTATAATCAAAACCTTCCCTAACTCTGTTACCATATTCTAATTAAATGTAGATACTACTTCTGGATTAGAAGATGAGGAAGATATACCTTAACAAGGAAAAATATGAATTCTATATGGAAACTGGAGTTAAAAAGTATTTGTAGGTTCTGTATTGAGAAACTTAGACCTGTCTTTTCTGTATTACAGTGTGACCTATTTTTGTTGCATCCACATGATTTTTACACAGAGCTTTAATTGCTGGTAATTGTAGCGCTCTTATTTCTGTGTATTTCTCGTCTACTTTGGTGTGAGTAGGTGAGACTGGGCTGAGAACCACAGTTGCTGTATCTTTGAAATGCACTATGCACTTGTGAGAGCGGGATCCTGCCCAACAACACAAGTGGCGATGATGAGACACTCACACCATGGGGTCTTATTTGTTACAAGTAATAATTGCTGGGCTTTGCACGAATCAGAAAAATGCTAAAACACAGCTTCTCTTGCCAAACTTAATTTATTCTGTAGTTCAATTGAAGGAAATTGTCAAAATCCTGGAAAAACTAAATGGAAATGGAAGATGGAAGTGGTTGCTTCACTATAGAGAAAATAAAAAGCTAAAAGAAGACGTAAGGTAAGACCTTTATGTAAATTAATGTGTTTACCTGTGTGTGGATTCTTTCCTTCCTGTTCCCTTTTATTGGGGGAGGGTGGAAATACCATGTGATTCATCTTGCAGTCTTCGATATGCTCCATGCTAGGGTTCCTCTGCAGCTGGTGTTGGTCTGCAAAAAGATAAGCTTGTGCTGGAATGTAAATCAGCCTGTATCACTGCGCATGATATTTAGGGCTGTTGACTGTTCTTTGGGTTTTGTTTTGTTTTGTAGCTGGGCTTTCAATAAAGGAAGCTGTGTGCTTAACCATAACAAACAGTTCATAAGTACATACTTCTAATAGCACTTTTCTAGACTAATAGAAGTAAAGAAGTCAGACTTAGGAGTCACAAAATTTCCATATAGTTAGTTAGATTCAGGCTCTACTACATGAACTATAAAAAATAAAAAGTATGGGCTTGCCATATTAATACTTTTTTGGATATTTAGTCATTTATTAAGTGGCCACAGTTATAAGAAGGATGGAAAAAATGAAACCAGAGTCTGTCCTTAACTCCATTTTATCTTCAAGCAATTATGACATAAAATAGGCAAATCTCTTCAAATCTTAAGCTGTGATTTTTTTAAAAAATTTCTTACTGATTCCTTGGATGAAGAGACCTGGGGCCTGTGGGTGTCTCTTTCATACCAAAGAAGTCCTAGTGAAACTGATCAAAAGAGTAATGGAAATTTTAGTCTGGCGCTCCAGAGGCAGACTGCAAAAAAGATTCGATAATCCATTTGTTAAGTACACTATTTCAGGCACTGTTAGGTGTTTTACATCAATTCTTTTGATCAAATTTTATACCTAGGAGGTAGATAGTGTATCTCCATTTTACTCATATGGGCTTCAACCCCAAAATGTTTATCTCTAAAATGACTGTTATTTTCTATTTACCATACTGCTTTCTCCAAAATAAAACCTAGGAGAGATAGTAGCTGAAATTGTGAAAGTGCATGAGATCTTCAAAGGAAAGATGGCTAGGAATAGAATTTAAGGAAAAGCCTTTACTTAGGAGAAGAGCTAGTAAAGGAGAACAAAACAACAAAGAGGTAGGAGTGGAACCAAGAGATTACATTGTCAAGGACGATAAGGAAGGAAGGTTTAAGGAGTGGACAGTGGTCAGTGGAGATCACAAAGGAGTTAACCATCACTTTTTGGGGGAAATTCCAGCTCCGGTAATAATTATCAAGGCAAATTAAAGCTCTTAGGTGCTATAGCACACCTACAAAATTAGTAAGTATAAATTATTATTTGTAGAACATTGGGTGAACAGAAATATATAACTGTTGACATTGTAATATGCTGTTCAAGTTGTACCAATCTGGCATTTTGTAACAGGCATCCAAAAACTCATATCCTTTGACCTTTTGGGGAATTTGTCCAAAACTAAACTAAAACAAAAAACCTAGCTTTTAAAAACCACTATTTTTACAAAGATGTTTATGGCTATGAGTGATGTCAGTAATTGCAAAATAACCTCAAATCCATCACTAGGCAAAAGTAAGAGACAGATGTATGGACTATGTAGATGTACAGGCAGTCCCTGGATTATAAAAGAGTTTACTGCCTAAGTCTATCTTTAAGTCGAATTTGTACATAAGTCCGAACAGTTTGGTATGGTTCATATCTAAGGTCTTTGTCTTAGTATATAGCATATAGTGTACCTTTCTATACATGAAAAAACATTAAACACTTCCAGATACACTAAAACATCTTTAACGTAGTACTACAGTAGTAGTAATGTTCTGATGTGCATTGTTATTTCGAACCGTTGTATGTACCTTGAATTTTTTATATAATAGGCTTTATGGGGGGTTGGTTCATAACTATGGGTTGTACATAAGTTGTACGTTTGTAACCCGGGGACTGCCGGTAGATATAGATTTTTTTTTTTAAGTTTATACAAAATAATGCCATACAAAATAAGTAAAAGCATATAAAAAGTCTGTGCACAGTAAAGAGGAAGATAACATAAAAGTTGCTGTCATAAAACTATATATAGTATGAGGCTGATCTTATAGAAATGTATATATACTTAGGAAAAGCCTGGAAGGAAATTTATCATCATGGTGTTAATAGTGATTATCACTAGGGTTGTGAGAATATGTACAATTTTGCTTTTCTCCAGCAAGCTAGGAGGGAGAGTGTCAGTGATGGGGAAGACTAGAGGTGGAATCAAGAGCAGCGGAGAGATGTTAAAAAGTTGAATGCAGAAAGAATTAAGGATTCATCTTCCTCTAAAAAAGGAGGGAAAAAAGATAGGTAGCAACGGAATTTTAGGGAGGTACAAAATTAAGAGAACTCTGGCTGCTGTCATAATTTTAATGAACTTGGTGGTGATCTAACCAAAATGTATGATGAGTATCAAATAGAGGTTTTGAAGAGACTAAAAGATTTGGAACCATTGCTATATAATATAGGGTATAGAAAGAAGTCCACTAGAAATTAATGAAAGACTTACCAGGCAGCATTAAGGTGGTAGTAGGTAAATGTGTAGATGTCTTGTTTGGAATAAGACTCGTATTTAAAATCTGTATTTAAAAAAGAAAGAATAAGTGCAGTTGTGATGTTTTCAGGCAATTCTGTGACTCAGAAAGGTGCCTTGTTCTTCCTTAAAGTATATGTGTATCACATCTTTTTTTCCTGTAGTGCCTGTCAGAGTGCTCAATACTATTTGGTTGCTGATTGATGCTGATTAGCTTACCTACATCAGTGTATGTTTTGGATCTCATTCTTATGTTTATGTCAAGACAGCTCTTTCCCATCTATAGGGCAGTAACTTCTAGGCTTTTAGGAAGCCAAATGTGCCATGAAACGGGATCAAAAGGGAAAGAGAAGAACCTCATGAGTTTGAATGTTTTTATATACGTGGTTAAACTAAATAAGAATACAAGTAGTATATTGAAGACAAAGTCTAGAAATAAAATAACTGAAAAGTTAAGATTTAGTAGAACAAACTGTCATAAACTTACATACTGGAATCTAAACTTGGTTATTAACATTTCTGTGTATTTTCCAGAGTGGACTCAGTTGCACGTAAAAAGAACTTAATAATGAAATCATTTCAGAGTGCAAATATAATTGAATTGCTTCATTATCACCACTGTGACTCTCGATCATCAACAAAAGCAGAAAATTTGAAATGTTTGTTAAACTTGCAAATTCAGCATATTGATGCCAGGTTTGCTGTTTTCCTAACAGGTAAATTCACAGCCTCAGTTCTGCCTGATCTTCATTACTCAGCTCATACCAAAATAGGTCAGCTCTAGAAATGCCCTCCCAAAGTAGTCATTGGATACTGTAAGATGAATCTGTCCAACCACTGGCAATCAAGAATAAACTTGTAATGCAGTGTATTTTGATAAATTCACATAAGGCCGGGATTAGGGGAATGTTACTTTTTTGTCTGGTAAAGTTAATAGTTCTCTAACATGGTTCTTCCCATTGAATTTAATCAGCTCCTACAAGTATTTATCCAGTTTTATACTTACCTCTATTTTATGTTTTATGTGAATCTTATCCAGCCTTCCCCACGAAGAAATGACTGAAGTTGTCATTTTCTTTTTACAGATAAGCCTACTGTTTCCAGAGAGGTCTTTGAAAATAGTGGAATCCTTGTTACAGATGTAAATAACTTTATTGAAAATATACAAAAAGTAGCAGCTCCATTTAGGAGTAGCTATTGGTAAGAACACTTTTTAACAACAGCAGGTATTGGTGTGTCTATGAGGGACCAGTTGATTTGAAACTCTGTTCTTTATAGATCATGCTATAAATTTAAAATATTTATTTCTTTGGGGGTGGAATTGCTGTTACTTTGGCATAAATGAGAATTTCTGGAGTATCATTAATAAAATAACCAACTTCAAATTACCCACTTTAATGGATGTGCATTTATGCTTTCAGTTCACCTAGATTACCAGGACAAAAGATAACGTAGCCTTAATATACCTACGCATTTTCCCCATTAGGTAGCATGCCTTTATAATATTTCTTGGTAGTTTTGTTTTAAAGATAGAGTTATGATCAATTTTGTGTTTATCCAGGTGATTCAACTGCAGCTTGCGTAAACATGGATGATGACGACAGATTAGTATTTTCCCTTTTCTTTGCAAAACTTTGAAATACACATGAACTGTCTTCTCATATTTGGAAAAAAATAATGTTTTATACCATAGGGAAAGTTTTCCTTCTTTCATTTTTTGCTAAAATGTTTGACTTCACAGTGGTACAGTTGTCCGTTAGCTTTGGGTTTCAGTGTTAAATACTATTGTTTTAAATTATTTTCATTTTTAACAGAATGCCTTCAAAGCTATTAATTGAGCTTAATATTAAAAATAAGAAATTTGCTAACATGTTTATTCAGTTGAAGCAAAAATACCTGTTTTTGCATGTTAATATCAGTACGGCATATGTAATGCATGTTAATGGTTTGTTTTAAAGGTTTTACCATCCTTGTACAAACTGTAATCTTAAATGAATTCATTTGATATTATTAAAGCAACACCAACACTACATAAACATTTTTTCCCAAATGGTACGATTTATAAATTGTCATTTTTTCCTTACTCAGTTTTTGTAAATAGTGCACTACAAATCAACCCTGAGGAAGAAATAATCATATATTTATGATATTAGAAATCATTTCTACAGTAATCTTTAAAACTCAAAACCAAGCCAAAAAAATTTTTTATAAGATACATAGTATCTGTTTGGAACAAAGGTTTTTGTAACTAATTTGTTTCCTTTTTTAATAAAGACAACTAAAAAAATCACTGAATGGTTTCTGCAATGACTGTATAGCAAAATTGAACTTGTAGAGAATGTTTTAACAATTTTTAGACCATTTAGCCGCAATAACTAGCTGAGGAATCCTACCATTTATAGCATTTTGGCCTTGCTGTTAGTCTCACTACCACAGACCTGCCCAGTGCTTTCTGGTGTACTTTCCCTCAGAAAGACAAAATTTTAAGTAATTTCTTTTCACTTGGTCTTATATAGGGTTACATTAGACCTATATAGAAACTTCTTTCAGAAGTCAGTCTGCTTTGTATAATTCCTCCCTAAACAAAAAATGCCAGTTTTACAATTTATTTTCTCCGAAGTACTGATGATTTTAATGACTGACACTATCTTTCCATAGAAAGCTAATCATTTTATTTTTGCCCCCAAGGACAAGAATCTAATAAGAGACCATAATTATATTTGGTATGCTGAATTAATTTGAAATTTCTAAAGAAAAGGAAACTTAACATTTATTAAGCAAGCACCTATTACCTACCAGGCACTGTCTGTTAGTCATCCTTCAAATTTTACCTCAAATGTTAAATCTGCCCTTGCTGAAAAGCCTTCCTACACCTACAAGGCCATCTTCCTCAGTTTCCATACCTTTTTTATAACTCTAATACTTAGCCAAACCATATAATATGTCTCCCCTAGACTGGGAGCTCTCCAGAGACTGTGCCTTAATCATCTCAGTACCCTACTGGCCTGGCAGATAAGTAGGTGATCAATAAATACGTTAAAGGAAGAATATGAAAATGTTTTTTTTCTTTTCACTTATTACTAACTCAGCTTGTGTCTTTGCCTGCATTAATGGTTCACAATTTGAAGTACTATGGGAAGGGAAAGGCTTGCTGGAATTCTAGATAATTTTATTGTATAACTAAAGCAGTGGCTCTCAAGTAGGGCAGTTTTGCCCCCAAGGGAAATCTGTCTGGAGGCATTTTCAGTTGTCACAACTAGGGGGGTACTACTGGCATCTAGTAGGTAGATGCCAGAGATGCTGCTAAACATCCTACAGTGCACAGGACAGCCCCCTACAACAAAGAATTATCCAGCCCAAAACGTCAATAGTGTGAGGTTGGGAAATTCTGAGCTAAAATAATCAATCTGTATTCAGTCTAAATTATTATTCTTTTAATGCCTTTAGCAGATCATCTGCCTCTGTCTCTTTCATACTTAACTGTAAAAGTCAATAATCAGTCTAAAAAAATACAAGTATGCATCGCTTAACATCCATTCAGCAACATAAGTCCTGGCCCCATAAGGTTTTTTTGTTTTTTAAAGGAATGCAGCTCTCCTTTTATTATTTCCCTTAATGGTTTTAAAGAAAGACCCCAAAGCCCTAGAGTGAACAAGCAGCAGGGCTCCAGGGCGTGTCCCAATCCCTGAAGGGCCGCCTCCTGGCTTCATTTACCAGCCGTGCAGCCTTTCACTCCTTGCCCAGGGCAGTGTCTGCTATAGCTCCTCCCTTCCTGCCACAGGTGCTGGCTGGGCCAGGTGCCCGTGGGCTTCTGACTCCAGGCAGTGGCAGCAGCTGCACCTGCTCAGAAAGCAGCTGTACCAACTGGGCAGCAGTAGCCTTAGCTGCCACTGCCAGCTTCACTCCTGGATCTGTACCTCCCCGCCCTCCCAGTCTGGCTGTGGGCGCAGGCCCTGCCCCACCCAGCCACACACCCTGCAAGGCCAGCCTCCTGTATCCAGAGCTACAGTTCTCAGGCTTTGTCCTGCAGGCTTTTGTAAGGTTTTAATGTATGGCTGTATGGGGATTTAACTACGGATTGTACGGAGACTTCTGTATATAATATGTTCAAATCACACAATGTCCTATTTCACAGAACATATGGTGGATGTTAAGCAACACATACCTGTACAGCTAAAATGTCCTGATTCATCTGTGGTAAATAACTGCATATACAGTGAGACTTAATAGTTACATCAAGGGGAAAACAGTACCAGTCAAAATAATTTCTAACTATAGCATAAATTACATGAAACTATTAAAGCATTGTAATTGTTGCTATAAGCAAATTATCAAAGGCAAGGCAGTATATGGATTTGCGTGCAAGAGAATACTTCTTCTAAACCACCACCAAGAATACCTTAAGAGTTTAATTTATGTCAAGAGTATATAATTTGGGGTCTACTCACAGTGAAGCCAGGTGACAGGCTTTTTATCTATCTAAATTAGAAAACGCATATATACTTTTAGCTACTGGGTATCTCTTTCCCGGCAAGTTTCTGCTGTACTGAAAGATATAAGCAGCAGCTGTGTGGTAGCCATTACAGTACTTAACATATCTTAAAGATCACAGTACAAACAGACCAATGAACAGCGTAATGGTTTCCAGAGTTTGGCTTTATTTTGCAGTACAGAAATCATTTGGAGCCATTTTGGGGGAAACATCATTGAAGCAGAGGCTCTGTCCAATCAATACTGTGTTGCATCTTGGTCCACTGAAGAAGCCACACCTGGGATACAGAAGATGCTTCTGCATTTCCCCTGCCCTATGACAGATCTCTTTTCTCCTTTTCTCTCATCAATTTTATTAGATTAAAACACCATATGGAGCCATTAGCCACACAGGCTTTCTCCAAATGACTCCCAAAATCAGGAGTTTGGTTAGAATTCTATGCCCACAAAAACCAAACTTAATGGCTATGCTATTCGGGCATTGTCATAATACTTGCAATAACACAAAATATAAAGTTACAGGGAAAAACCTAGGGATGCTGTCCCAAATTATGGAATATTCAATTTAGAATCTCCTTAACGTCACGAGGACAGATGGCACAAAACTGCACTGATCCAGCTCTTGAGCAGCAGAAGCACATAACTGCAAAGGCTACACTCATTAAAAGATACAAATACTGTATCAAGTTGTCTGTATCAGTATCACAATGTTTGTTTAAAACTGATTCTTCACTAGGGAAAAAAAAAAAGCCAGTATTGGTTAAATTGAACAGAATATGGTAACCTGCCAATTCTGAATATAGCCACTCCATGAAAAAGAGTTAATACATGATATTAAAAAGATGAAGGGGAGGAATATTTACTGGTACAGTACTCTTCAATCTTCTCAGTTTTGATTACAAAAGCAGGCCTTACAATATTGATTTCAAACAATATGCATTATTTGCCAAATTTAAATTTGTTCTAATTAGGTGATAACATGTACTGCTGTTAGTCTTCCCCATAGATGTCATTTTTCTTGCGTTTCATTTCTTCAAAGTCAAACTCTGATCCTGTCATCCTCTTATAGATGTCTTTAATGTCATCACAGGTCGTCTCAAAGTGAGTTGTAGCATCGTAAGCACGAGAAATAAAGATCTGCAAATAAAAATTGCAAAGACTTAAGACTATTTAGGCATGTCTCCCCAGTAAAGCCTAATAATCACTCATTTCTGTCTCCACACTCACCTGGCTTTCTGTTCCTAAATCTTTTGGTACAAGGAGGTCACTGATGCTAACAAATCTGGAGGGAAAAAAGAAATAAGGTTAGGAGACCCCATACTAAATCACTGCTTTGCCTGTCTTTCAAAACCCAAGGGATAAGACTGGTAGAGATGAGATACTCTCCATTCAGGATCCCACACAGCAGCCGATGGCTTTCATTTTTCTCATATTCACTCCACCATGGGGCCAAAATCAAAGAACTCAGTTTGCATCTTAGTTGATTTAAATATGAATACATCACTTACTTCTGTTCAATTGGTTCCAAGAGTTCCAAAGCTGGTCTGATTTCCTTCTCAGGTTCCTTGGTTTCCACAGTTGTACTAACTATGGCAATATACTTCCCCTGTGCTGCCACATTGTGTGCAGAAGAAATCATGCAAACATAGATATCTAAAAACAAACGAAATCATCTTATTCCCCAAAGTTTATAAACCTTGGACATTTGTAGGTTTCACATATATTATCTGAAAAAGGCAATGTCTTCTAAGCTTAAAGTCTATATGGAAGTAAACAGGGTCATACATAAAGTACACTAATACTTAACAACTGGAATTGTTAAGGATTTACGTGGCAGTGAATTATTGGACTCTTCCTAATCTGTCACACCTAGTTGTGAAAAGCCTGCCCAACACATGAACTTCTTCTTTGGACACTGCATTTGGAAAGGTGTTGAATAGCTAAGATTTAGTAAGGACTGGTTTCCCCATTTATTAAAGTAATACAAAATTGCAGATCAGTATAAACTATTCCTGAGTTGACATAATAAACTGATACAATTCCAGAGATTCTAGTCTGTACACAACTACTCTAACATAACTGTAAAACTTCCAATAAAGAAAATAACATGGACTCCCTTTATTCTTTTTACACTTTCACAGGCCCAGGGACCTTCTGGGGAACTACTGAAAGATTATTTTAGTTCACGTCCCTTTGTTCGAGTGATAATCTGTGATTTGATATATGGGGGGAAAAAAAGCATAATACAGATAGCTCTTAACTGTCCATTTAAAAGCTGACAGCCCCTTTTAAGTTGAATTTTAGATAAATGAAAGATGGGAATGTCTATCTGATGGTTGAAAACCACTAAAGCACAGATTAGGAATTACGATTTTAAAAGTATTAAGTTTATAAATAATGACAAAAAGCAGCTATGTCATCAGTTCAGTGGAGTCAACGAGTAAGCATCAACCTTCAGACACATGTTAGAGCTAGGAAAGACTGTCAGTTCATCCCTAGCTTCTTGATTCTACAGATGAGGTAATAAATGTCCAGAGTGATGAATACAAGTAAAAGGCAGAGCTGGGATCAGAACCCAAGCTCCTAGTCAAGTTTCTTCATTTCAACACAATGCTTCAAGATGACTATGAGCTAAAAGGAACCACATTTTATTTCCTGTAAGTAAACTAATCTTTTCCCTATTAATACAGCATACAAAATTAGGAAGCTGGGGTGAAATACAAAGCAAATTATTCTACCAAAATTCTACAAACATCTGGTCTTCAAAACATACCTGACTTTCGGTTGACTTGGTTCTGTGGAATAATGATCTGGCATGAGTTGGCATCATTGGTGTTCTTGATTGGGTGGCTTAGGATACATATAACTCTAATCACCTGGCCCACCTTTTGTACCCTATCTTTTACATAGCTGGGATCACAGATGAGCTGCTTACAGCGAGCAATCTGTAACAAAACATTAAAAAAGACTGTGTCCATGATATTTTTAAATAGTATATTGATGCCACTTTCCCTGGAAAATAATCTGTTATCTTCATAAGCTAATAAACATAAAAGTTAATTGTAGGTACTTACGGAACTATAGATAACTATCAAAACTAGCTTTGCCAGCAATTCTCCTTAAACAGATATATGAATTCTAAATCTTATTCAGAAAGTACAAAAAGTGTGCCAGTCTTCAGAAGCACACATTTTAGAATTGGGCAGATCAGGGTCCAAATTCTGGTTCTACCTAATGTCAAAGGAGTATTGTTAGGATTCAATGAAACATATGTAAGGGCTGTCATAATATGTCAACGTACCTGATATACAGTAAAATGTAAATAAATGTCAATAAAGGATGTAACTATTGTAAACCAAAATCACTATCTTCTTGAGGCTATGCCTTCCAAGTTAAATGTTAGCTGCAAGATAAATGGTATATAACCTGGAAGATTTACAGTATTACAGCCGCCTTCTCTCTCATATCAAAGCCCAAAAGTTTCCTAAGAGGCGGCAGCTGTGTGAAGTGAAGAATGAGATGAAAGGAAGCTCTGCAATAAAAAGAACTTTGAGATATCAGATTAAAGTATTTATCCATATCTCCTAAACTCTATTATGCTAAAGGCACACTGTTGTTAACAAAGAAGTGGCTGGTGGATTCCAACTGCAGAACTTTTGGTTAGCAGCTGTAACTCTTAACCACTGCACCACCAGGGCTCCGCAACAGACTTACACAATAAGAAAGGTTCAGGTGGCCAACTAGTAAAAGCAGATAAGCAGATGATATGGTTCATAACACCCTTGGAAAATCATCAGGAATACTTAAAAATATGTAAATTTTTTTTTTTTTTTTAGTTTTTGCATTTCTTTTTTTGAGTTCAATTTGTAAGTGTTTATATTTCATGACTTTTATTCTCAGAAGTCTTCTAAAAAAAATTTTAAAAAAGGGAGAGAAAATTTACGATGGGATCTTAGTGATCATAGTAGGAATTAAATAATAAAACAGAATGGTAGAATCAACTAGAAGGCTGAGGCCATAAGGAATAAAATGTCATCCTTCATTTTTCTAACTGCACTGCCCAAAGTATTGTATCTTCTTACAAGAGCATATAAGAGACTATAGACACAATTTCTGTAGTCCACTTAACAGCTTTCAATAAATACAACTGAGAATTTGGTATTTTTCATTTTCTGCCCATATGGGCAAAGAGAATAAAATTAACACAGTAAAATGTTTCACATTTATTACATGAATCAGAAAATGAATATGAATTTACAGCAGTAGTCTAGACTCTAATGAAAATGGTGAAACTCATTAAATAAGTGAATCTCAGTCAATGAGTCTTCAGATGACAATATCCTAGATAATTTTCTCAAACTTAAGAATTGATGAGTGAACAACACAGTTCTAAGGACAAAAAGAATGTATGGTATTCTCACTGTTGCAGATTGAATTGTGTCCCCCCTAAATATGTGTCAACTTGGCTAGGCCATGATACCCAGTATTGTATGACTGTCCACCATTTTGTCATCTGATGTGATTTTCCTATGTGTTATAAATCCCATCTCTATGATAATGAGATGGGATTAGTGGCAGTAGTGTTAATGAGGCAGGACTCAAATCTACAAGATTGGACTGTGTCTTAAGACAATCTCTTTTGAGATACAAAAGAAGGAAGTGAGCAGAGAGACATGGTGGACCTCATACCACCAAGAAACAAGATCAAGGAGAACAGTGCATCCTTTGGACCTGGGGTCCCTGCGCTGAGAAGCTTCTAGATCAGGGAAGATTGATGACAAGGACCTTCCTCCAGAGCCAACAGAGAGAGAAAGCCTTCCCCTGGAGCTGACGCCCTGAATTTGGACTTCTAGTCTACCAGACTGTGAGACAATAACTTTCTGTTTGTTAAAGCCATCCACTTGTGGTATTTCTGTTATAGCAGCACTAGATAACTCATGTAGTTAGCCACTGACAACAAGGAGCTCGTCACACCATATTTTACAACAAAAACTTGGGCTCGTTCTG